GCTCCTCAGAGAGCCTCCGCCCCCACCCTGGTCTCCTCACAGTGAGTTCACACACAAGACCTGACTGCGGGGTTTAGTGAGTCAAGTCAAACATTAAAGCAAGTGAATTCATTTAAAAAATTAAAGGTTACACATTTACTCATGAAGCAAAGCAAGCAAACCTATGCATCTGGCTCATGAAGCACAGATAGGTTCTCAGCTACTTTTTTTTTTTAATCCTCATCCCAGGATATTTTTCTATTTATCTTCAGATGGAGTGGGAGGGAGAGAAAGAGAGAGACACATCGACTGGTTGCCTTCTGCATGAGCCTGACCCTGGGCCGGGGACAAACCACAACTGAGGTACGTGCCCTAGACTAGGAATTGTACCCACGACTCCTCAGTCCATGGGCCGACACTCCAACAACTGAGCCAAACCAGCCAGGCTCCCCTTTTGTTATGGCTCTTCTGCACTTTATGGGAAGCACTTGGCTTTTTATTAAACAGTGGGGTAAGATAAAATGATACCTCTTCTTCCCCCTCCTCCCTGCTTTTCTAGCAGGATGATATGTACTAAGTGGTCTGATTCCTCCTCCTCCTCTCTCCCTGCCCTTTCCCTTTCTCTCCTACATTTGTCTCAAGATAAAGTCCTGCTACAAGGACTTTACTAATTAGCAAAACATTTACTAATAGGTACTAAGCTAAGGAAAATGAGGCACATACCTCTCAAGTCTGCATGTGACTTCAAGTTTGGTGACACCACCACTCATCCATCCTACTTGTTTAGTCTCAAACTGCCCTCCCTCCCACTTTTAATTAAGAGAAAAAACCGAGAGCCATTTCAGACACATTGGTGATCAAGGTCTACTTTAGGCCTGCAACCTATCTAGGCCCATTTTTCATCGTGGGGTTGTGTATAGGTTTTTGTTTCTATTTACTTAACCCTCACCCGAGGATGCTTTTCCATTGGTTTTAAAAGGTGAAAGATTTATGCGATCTGAAGAAAAACCACAGTATTTTTCACATTGGTTTTAGAGTGGAAAGGAGAGAAACATCGATGTGAAAGACACACATCAATTGGCTGCCTCCTGCAGGACCCCAACCAGGGCCAGGGACTGAACCCGCAACCCTCTGTCCATGGGCTGATGCTCTACCTGCTGAGCCACGCCAGCCAGGGTGTGTATAGGTATTTTCGTCCAGTCAGAGCTCCTCACAGCAACCTGAGGACAGCAACATGTATTTCTTCAATATTTTTCACAAGCCAATTGTCATTTTAGACCCTTAGTGATAATTGCTTTTATATAATACTAAATTATACCAACACAGAGACTGATCTTTGGCCCAAAACTCTCCCCAGGGGAAATTTGAGTATCAACTAAATATTAAATATCAGGAAATTCTTGTTGATGTTCCCAAGTCCAATACTGCTTAGAGAGGAAAGTCAATTTTTAAAAACACATTAAATGCCCTGGCTGGTTTGGCTCAGTGGTTAGAGCATCGGCTCACAGACCAGAGTCCCGGGATCGGTTCCTTCTAAGGGCACATACCTCAGCTGCAGTTTGTCCCCGGCCCCGTTTGGGGTCATGTGGGTGGCAGCCACTCAATGTGTGTCTCTCTCTCTCTCTCTCCCTCTTGTTCTGTCTGAAGATAAATGCAAAAATGTCCTCGGGTAAGGATACAAAAAAAAGAAAAACACATTAACTGTTTCAATGAAGTGGCATGCTATTTGTTTTCAAATGCTTCATAGCAAAAATGTATTACAGATAGAGCAAATATTACAAATTTTATGTTAAACATAGGTGATGAACATTTAGGTGATCAATGTACTAGTATTTCAGCTTTTCTGTATGTTTAAAATTTTTCATAATAAAAAGTTGGAAAGGATATATATCACATCTTATTGACCTATTCACATTTGTGGGCAATGGGAATGCTTATAGCTATTATGAATAATATCACATTGATTATTCACATACAAGTCTTCATGCAGGCTTCAATGGCTTTGTAAATAAGCTTGTAACATTAATAATGCCCCATCCAGTAAGGCTCTACACCAAGCCTGTTTAATAAATTTCAATAAAACCAGAATAACTAGAATTTTCAAATATGTTTCTTCTAGTAGCTTTCTGGTGAACTGAGGGTTAGACAAGATGGTATTTCTGCTGTTTCGGTGTCGCCAAGTTCTGCTTGTGTAAACGCAGTGCCCAGCTAGCCTGACAGTGTGGGGAACGCAGTGCCCAGCTAGCCTGACAGTGTGGGGAATAGTGCAGAGCAAGCCTGACAATGTTGCAAGACAAATGAAGAGTCTGCAGGGCCTCCCGAGGATGAAGCAGAGAGCTACTGCTAAGACTGTAGAGAACATGTCCAGCAGAATGTGTTCACTAGGTTTTGAGTCTAGAACAAAGCATGAAGTGGTTTCTATAAGCAATCGTCCAGTGTGAGTTTTTTAATCAAACCTGAGACTCATTGGTCTGCGGCCGATGCTCTAACTGCTGAGCCAAACTGGCCAGGACTCATGTGAGTTATTTTAAAAAATCTGCTTCTAACCATCTTACTACAATTAATTAGTGGCTAACTAGACTCCAGGCACTTTACCCCCTTACCCACTCTCACACAGCTCAGACTCCCGGAACACAGCGGGCCCAGCAGTGAAGACAGGGGCACTGCACCACCCTCACCAGATAGCACGCACACCCGATAGTAACTCAGGCCTGTTCTTTCTATTCTACTGCTTGGTGCCAACCTGCTCATATAACTGCCTCTCTTATCTTTATTTTATTTTCCTTATTGATTGATTTTAGAGAGAGCGGAAAGGAGAGAAAGAAACATCGATGAGAGAGAACATCGATTGGCTGCATGCCCCCCACTGGGGACTGGGCCCACAACCTGGGCATGTGCCCTGATGAGGAATCGAATCGGCAACCTCTTGGTGCATGGGTTGACACTCAACCAATGAGCCACACAGGCCGGACATAACTGCCTCTCTTAAAAGATAATTCTAGAGACTTAAGGAATAAGCAATTGGGTTTGTTTTCATAGTCTGATACCAGTATCATTTGATATGCTAACCAAATTGTTGCACTAATTTCTATAAAGCAAGCTGATTTATCACCTATGTATACCTGCTCATCTGCTGAGCATAACAATAGCTAACATTTATTGGGTCATAATATATATCAGATACCAATAGGCTGTTTTTAATATTTTCTCATGAATTTCTCAATCTTCTCAAAATTATGGGTTATATAAATATTATTTTCCACATTTCACAACTGAGAACAATGAAGAATCTCAAAGAGTCAAATTGCCCAAGGATGAAATTATTATTTTCTTCAAATATTAATAAGAATACTGGTGACAAAACCATGTCATTTAAGAATTTATTAAAATAGCCCTGGCCGGTTTGGCTCAGCGGTTAGAGCATCGGCCTGCGGTCCTGAGAGACCCAGGTTCGGTTCCCAATAAGGGCGCGTACCTCGGTTGCAGTTTGTCCCCGGCCCTGGTCGGTTGTGCGGGTGGCAGCCACTCGATGTGTCCCTTTCACATCGATGTTTCTCTCTCTCTCTCTGTTCCTCTCTCTCCCTCCCACTCTACCTGAGCAAAAAATGGAAAAATGTCCTCGGGTGAGGATAAAAAAAAAAAAAAAAGAATTTATTAAAATAAACCCTGGTCAGTTTCTCAGTGGTTAGCGCATCAGCTCACAGACCTGGTCAAGGGCACCTGGGCTGTAGGTTCAATCCTGACTTTGGTTGGAGTCATGTGAGAGGCAACCAATCAATGAGTCTCTCTCACATCAATGTTTCTCTCTCTCTCTCTCTCTCTCCCTCTCATTCCCTTCCACTCTCTGAAAAATCAATGGAAAAATATCCTCGGGTGAGAATTAATAAAAAAAATAATAAGAAGAAAGTGGCTTCGTTTATATTATTTCAGAAAAGAAATAATTTATTAAAATAAAAATAATTTAGCCCTAGCCGGTCTGGCTCAGCAGTTAAGAGTGTCAGCCAATGCACTGGGTCTTGGGTTCAATTTTGGTCAAGGGCATATAGCTGGGTTGCAGGTTTGATGCCTGGCCCTGATTGGGGTCATGCGGGAGGCAACCAACTGATGTGTTTCTTTCACAACAATGTTTCTCTCTGTCTCTCTCTCTCGCCTCCTTCCTCCCTTCCTTCCACTCTCTCTCTAAAGAAAAAAAAATCAATGGAAAAATATCCATGAGTGAGGATTAACAACAACAAAAAGGAATATCTTATTTTTATCATAGTCAGCATCTAACATAACACTATCTTGAACATTAAAGCCGACTGTGTTCCTCAACCTTTTCCTTGGATCATGAATTCATTTGGAGCCAACAAGTGCTCAAAAAAACCCCACCACCAAAAGCCCAAATTGTGAAGAAAACAGGTCTATTTCCCATCATAAAACCAAAGCTGTTGAAATGCTTTCTCCAACTCCTGTAAGATCAAATGACTTCACTGCAGTGACCCAGGAAGGGCAGACTCCCTCCTTCCGAATCACCCATCAGGAAACATGGTGCCAAGTGCAGAGGGCTGGACGGGGTGCCACATACAAGGAGACTTCAAAGTGTTCAGGCCTTCACGCCTGGCACAAAGTGAGAGAAATCAAGTTGGGAGTGACGAAGTATGTACGTTAGGATCACGCACTCCAAACCTGCATTCTGCAACAGAGAGAGAGTAAAGGCGCCCACTCCCTCACGGCTGCGGGCGCCACCACACTGAGCAGTGACCCTCAGGTATGGCTGCATTCCACGGTGGGCTGCTTCCCTGCCCACTGGGCTGAGCACAACCATGGCAAAGCTCTCTCAGGGGCATTAACTCTACCATCCTATCTTCAAGAATCTCAAACGGTCTGGCCAGTGTGGCTCAGTGGTTGGGCATGAACCCATGCACCAATAGGTCACCAGTTTGATTCCCAGTCAGGGCACTTGCCCAGGTTATGGGCCTGATCCCCAGTGGGGGGCACGCAGGAGGCAGCCAATCAATGTCCTCTCTCATCGATGTTTCTGTCTTTCTCTCCCTCTCACTTCCCCTCTCTCTAAAATCAATGCAGGAAAAAAATTAAAAAAAAAAAAAGAATCTCAAACAGTGATACAGGCCTGGTATACTTCCTCCTTTTGCATTTAGAGACTAGACTTGTTTCCTGTAACAGTGTCATATGTTCTAGTACAGTTTTAAGAACTATAAACACATTGAAAGCAAAACATAAAGTATTAGGAATCAAAAATAGCACAAGGCCCAAAACTCAGCAGTTTGTAGCACATCAGCCCTTCACCCTCTACAGCAAGTTCAGGGAGCCGCTCGCAGCCTCGGCAAAGTCTCTCCAAGACAGCACGGTCACCAGGACCTTAGAGTCACATCTGAACCCAACTCAAACCCAGACCAAGGGGGCTGTTGTATCCATAAGTACTGGTGTCTTCTGTGACAGAATTTTGGGTCTGGGGAGACAGCGGTACAGCGCTGGGACACGGCTCCCTCGGAAGCAGAGCAATGCCAGAGATCAATACTGAAAGCTGCGCTTGGTCTGGATGTCGTCAAGAATCTGCTGCAGTTCCTCGTCTTCGAATCGCCCCTCCAGGCTAGAAGAAACCAGAAGAAACTAGCATCTGGGTGACTGACCATCTCCCCCACACTCCTCCTTAACACAGGCCAACGTTGGAGCACAGTGGCCCCCCTCCATGTGCCTCTAAACACTGCACTTTTACCTTCAGTGTTTACTTCTTGCCCTTCCTTTTAAAAACCTGAAGTATGGCAAACAGAAAAGGCACGGAGAATAAGTTAGCCTGAACAGTGACCCCTGCTGGATCTAGATCTCCTTAGTGAACAGGAACAACTGAGGACTGTGCCACGCCCCCACTCAGTACCTTCACCTCCTTCTCCAGAAGTGACCATTATCCTAACTTTGGTATTTAGCATTGCTATAAATATTTTTATACTCACTGTATGTATATATAAATAGATCTATACACAATATGCAGCACTGTTTTTAAACTTTATAAGAAACGGCATCATACTGTATATATCTTTCTGTAATTTTTTTGCTCAACATTCATTCTGGCATATGTTGACATTATTCCATGTTCTAGTTCATTAATTTTTTCACTGTCATATAACAAACACTGTGTGATCATATAATGATTTACTCAGTCTCTTGTTGACTGACAGGTTATTGTCATGCTTCTATCACTCACAATGCAGCAATGGACACTGGAATACACATCTCCTTTTAAACTATATGAGTGGCTCTTAGGGCGTGTATCCAGGAATACATATTTGGGTATTTAGGTATATGCATGTTTAACTTTACTAGATGCAGCAAAATGGCTCTCAAAAGTGACTGCCTAATTTGCACCCCTACCATTAGTGAATGAGAGTTTCATCTGTTCCACATTTTTACTGACAGGTGTTGTACTCCAAAATCATCTTTCTCATGCTGTTAAAAAAATGCCCTCTCGCCCCAGCGGTTTGGCTCAGCGGTTAGAGCGCCGGCCTGCGGACCAGAGAGTCCTGGGTTCGGTTCACACTAAAGGCACTTACCTCGATTGCAGTTTGTCCCTGGCCCCGGTTGGGGTTGTGTGGGATGCAACCACTCAATGTCTCTCTCTCACATCAATGTTTCTCCCTCTCTCTCCCTCCCACTCTATCCGAAGATAAATGCAAAAATGTCCTTAGGTGAAGATTAAAAAAAAAAAAAGCCCTCTCACTTAAAGTTTTATTTATTCAGATTTTAAATGCACGTACTTTTTAGACACAGTAATTTCAATTGTAGGACTATATCCAATACACATAAAACTTACCACACCCGGTACTAACCTTGGGATCAGAGCCTTGGACTCCTCAGCAGTCTCTGGACACAGGTTGGCTAAACAGGCCAATTCAAACTTATGAAGCTTTTTCTGAAGCAACAAGCTGATCATAAAAAAAGAAAATCAAAACAAAACAAAATCAAAGAATGATGAATAGGAAAAGGGGGATGGAATATAGCAACAGAAAAAGGGAAGCGCTAGTGATCTTTCCATAATGGTTAGGCTGGCTGCAAAATTGCACCTTCAAATCACTTCCCGTTCCTACTCCTGCAGAACAGGAAGTTACAACAAAGTCAGCAGAGACAATGACAGTTAAGAAAGCACATCCAGGCAGAGAAGCCCTGCCACTGCACTTTTGAAAACGTACAAAATGCCTTAAGGACTACACAACCTTTCCCCAGGGAATTTATCTTCTTGCTCTCTGCTGTTCCTACTACTCTTCCTTGCTTCCTTTGTTATTAACTTTATGTCAAACAAATGACATTAGATACCCCCAATCTATTTGGTATTGGATTGGGAGGAAATTTTAAATTATCAAAATAAATAAATTAATCAATACAGGCATACCTTACTTTGTACAAATATATGTGTAGACTGCACCTTATTTTAAATGCCAAACTGTTTGAAAGAATAGCCGATGCAAATCATATATTGGATTTAAACCCCAGCAGCTCTTAAAACAGAACTCATTGCCCTGGCAGGTGTGGACCTATTGGTTAGCACCCTTCTCTTCACTAAAGGGTGCAGGCTGGATCCTCAGTGCAGGTGTGTGCAAGGCAACTGATCAATGTCTCACTCTCACTGATTTTCTCTTCCTCACTCTTTAAAAAAAAAATCAATATAGAAATCTTTTTTTTTCTTTATTGAGAGGTTTAGAGAGACAGGAAGGGAGAAGGAGAAAGAGATACAATATCGATTGGCTGCCTCCTGCATGCCCCCAATGGGGATGGGGCCCACAATCTGGGCATGTGCCCTGACCAGGAACTGAACTGACGACCTCTTGGTGCAGGGGTCACCGCTCAACCAGTAAGCCACACTGGCCGGGCAATACAGAAATCTTTTTTTAAAATAAAACAAAAATAGTGGAATATAATGAACATAACAGTCTGAGGAAGGGGGTAGTCCCAGAGACGTGGAAGTGGGGTACAGACTGACAATCCCCAGAATAGGGAGTGGTGGGGGAGAGATAAACCACAGAACTTACATCCATGTGTGCATCAACAATGGACATGGACAACAAAGCTGGGGACAGGGCGGGGAGGGGGGAAAAAGAGAAACATCTGTAACCAAAATAAATTAATTTAAAAAAAAGTTAAAATAAATAAAAACAAAACAAAAACAAAGCCCTGGCCAGTTTGGCTCAGCTGTTAGAACATTGGCTCACAGACCCAGGTGTTGCAGGTTCAATTCCTGGTCAAGGGCACATACCTGGGTTGCAGGTTGGATCCTTAGCCCCAGTCAGGGTCATGCGAGAGGCAGCCAATCGATGTGTCTCATATTGATGGTTTTCTCTCTCCCTCCCACTCTATTTAAAAAAAAATATCGAAAAATGTCCTCGGGTGAGGCTAAAAAAAAATAATAATAATAAATAAAAAATAAAAGTAGAACACACCAATGGTAAATGTGTTTTCAGAGAAAACTATCTGTTCAGAAACAAATCACTGTGTTTATTATTCTAGTACAAGCATATTAGTTAATGTACAAAATTTAGAAAATATAGAAAGGCAAAAAATGAAAAAGCTACTCATATTACCGCCTAAACAAAATCAACATACCATCTTGGTATATCATTTTAAACATTTTTCTGTGTTTCAGAATATAAAATCACACATTCTGTTTGGTAATCCTTTGTCACTTAAGGGTATTTTCATTTTATAAAGAAAACAAAGTAAACTGAGAAAGGACCAGCTAAGAGATATCACCTCACACCTGTCAGAATGGCCGCCATCAACAAATCATCCAACAAGTGTTGGCAAGGTTGTGGAGAAAAGGGGACTCTAGTGCACTGCTGGTGGGAATGCAGACTGGTGCAGCCACTACGGAAAACAATATGGTATTCCATCATAAAATTAAAAATGGAACTGCCATTTGACCCACTGATTCCACTTCTGGGAATATATCCTAAGAAGCCTGAAACACCAATCAGAAAGAATATATGTACCCCCATGTTCATAGCAGCACTAATTGCTAAAATCTAATTGCTAAAATCTGGGAACAGCTCAAGTGTCCATCAATAGATGAGTGGATAAAAAAGCTGTGGTACATGTACACAATGGAATACTATGCAATTGTAAGAAAGAACGATCTCGCCCTGGCTGGTTTGGCTCAGCAGTTAGAGTGTCGGCCTGAGGACCAGAGAGTCCTGGGTTCAGTTCCCACTAAGACCATGTACCTAGGTTGCAGTTTGTCACCGGCCCTGGTTGGGGTCGTGTGGGTGGCAACCAGTTGATGTGTCTCTCTCATATCGACGTTTCTCTCTCCCACTCTATCTGAAGATAAATGCAAAAATGTCCTCGGGTGAGGATAAAAAATAAATAAATAAAAATAAAGAAAGATCTTTTATCCTTTAAGACGACATGGAGGGACCTGGAGAGTATCATCCTAAGCGAAATAAGCCAGTCAGAAAAGGACAGGTATCACATGATCTCACTTATTTGTGAAATATAATGAACAAAATAAGCTGATAATAAAATAGATCCAGAGACATGGAAGTAGGGAACAGACTGACAAACCTCAGAGGGAAGCGGCGGCGGTAGGGGGGCAGGAAGACATAAACCAAAGGACTTATATGCATATATGCACACAATCAATGGACAAAGACAGCAGTGAGGTGAAGGTGGGGATGAGGAGTGGGGATGAGGGTATCAATGGGGGAAAAAGGGAAAGACATCTGTAATATTTGCAACAATAAAGATAAATTTCAAAAAAAGAAAATAAGTAAATGTAGTTACATGAAAAGAGGTTTATAATGTTGAAATATATGAAGTGAAATAATTTAAAATCCTACCCAGAAATAACCAGTATTAACACTTTCATGGAGACCCTCTACCCTTCCTCTCTTCATGTAATATTTCTAAAACAAAATAATCATCATAGCATGTTATTCTGCAACTGGCCAGTCTTCACTCAACAGCACAGTGACTGTTTCCCTGTTGGCACACAGAACCACCCTGACCAGCACGTTCCACTGAAAAGTGGTGCCATCATCTATACATCACGTTTCCTGTTGAACATTTCAGCTGTTTTCAATGCTTTCGAACGTCATTATAAGTGCATATTTCTGTGTGCACTTGATTACTGTGTGTGTTGAAAATAAATTCCTGGAAGTAGAATTATTCCAAGGATATGGCTGTCTGGAAGGCTTGTGAGAGAGCACCCTACAAGAGTTTTACCAGTACATACTCCCACCACCAATACACGACAATGCTCGATTGCCTTACTTGTTACACTAGGTTTCCCATTGGTTTTCATCTTTCTAAGTCTACTTAGCTATACTGCCCCCCCCCCTTTTTTATCCTCACCCGAGGACACCTTTCCACTTTTTGTTCAGATAGAATGGGAAGGAGAGAGAGAGAAAGAGAGAGAGAGAGAGAGAGAGAGAGAGAGAGAGAGAGAGAAACAGCGATGTGAAAGGGACACATCGAGTGGCTGCCACCCGCACGACCCAACCAAGGCGGGGGACAAACTGCAACTGAGGTACGTGCCCTTAGCGGAAACCGAACCCGGGTATCTCTGGTCCGCAGGCTGATGCTCCAAATGCTGAGCCAAACCAGCCAGGGTTATACAGCCATTTCTTAATTTCCTTGAAGATGACCATTATTTCATGTGAACTAGACAGTCATTTAAAGTTCTAATAAAAATCAAGCCTTTTTTTTTTTAATCCTCACCTGAGAACATTTTTGCATTCACCTTCAGATGGAGCAAGAGGGAGAGACGGGAAGAGAGAGAGAGAGAGAGAGAGAGAGACATCGACTGGTCACCACCCACATGACCCCAACTGGGTCCGGGAACAAACTGCAACAGAGGGCCCTTAGCGGAAATTGAACCCGGGACTCTCTGGTCTGCAGGCCGATGCTCTAACTGCTGAGCCAAACCGGCCAGGGATAAATTAAGCCGTTTTTATAAACTAGGTATAATCCAAGGATAGCAATCTTTCCCCAGTTTATTCAAAGTTACATTGTCCCGCCCTGGCCGGTTTGGCTCAGCAGTTGGAGCGTCGGCCTGCGGTACAGAGAGACCCGGGTTCGGTTCCCGCTAAGGGCATGTGCTCCGGTTGCAGTTTGTCCCCGGCCCTGGTTGGTCGTGCGGGTGGCAGCCACTCGATGTGTCGCTTCACGGTCGATGTTTCCTCTCTCTCTCTTCCTCTCTCTCCCTCCCGCTCTATCTGAACAAAAAATGGAAAAATGTCCTCGGGTGAGGATAAAATAAAAAAAAGTTACATTTTCCACATGTCATTTAATTTGATATAGGAAGGTTTAAATATACTTACATAAATCCATTTACTTAGTCAACTAATTTTAGTGCCTACTATGAGACTGACACAGCGACAAACAGGACCAAGTTCCTGCCTTCACAAAAGCTTACCTTCTACTAGTCATTTAGGTGTCCCACAAAAAATCTATGGGAAAATATCGAGTAAGGATAAACAAAATAAAAATAAAATATAATAAATTTGTATTTGAATCTATTCCTGAATTTTCTATTCTGTTTCAACGATCTATTTCATGACAAGGTGTCACTATATTATTTTAATTATTGTCACTCTTTAATGTATTTTAACATCTTGTAGGGCAATTCCCCTTTATTTATTTATTTTTTTAAAGATAATCTTTTCATTTATTTAGTTAGTTTTTTGTTAATCCTCACCTGAGGATATTTTTTCCACTGATTTTTTTTAGAGAGCCGAAAGAAGTGAAGGAGGAGAGCAGTGGGGGAGAGAAAAGAGAAAAACATCAATGTGAGAGACACATTGACTGGTTGCCTCCTGAACTCGCCCAGAAAAGGGCCAGGGATCGAATCTGCAACCCAGGTACATGACCTTGATTGGGAATAGAACCTGTGACCCTCTGGTGCACGGGCCAATGCTCTAACCCCTTAGCTACAATGGGCAGGGCTCACTTTTCTTTTTAAAAAAATCTGACAATTCTTACAAATTTAGGATAATCTTATTCAGCTCCCCCTCTCAATTCCTTTGAGGGTTCAGAATAGCAAATGCATACATTAATTTGGACCAAACTGACATTTTTACAATATAAAGACCTTTTATTCATGAATGTGTTAAATCCACCTTCATTCAATCATCTTTTAGGCTCAATAGTTTGCAGTTCTGTGTGGAAGCTCTGCCGAGTTCCTGGCGATCTGTTTCCATGTATATCTGTGCCTGTCAGAACATACTTCATATATAGTTCTACCACCTTCATTTCTGCAACGCAACCTATGCGAACATCTTTCCATTCCACTTCCTATCGCAGGTTTAATGACACCACAGTAGCCCATCAAACCACAATGTATCTAATTACTGCTGAATGTTTAGGTTGCGTTTTTACCTTTAACTATTATAGCTTTTGTCCACTGCTTTTCCTTAGGGCAGTACTTCTCCAACAGTTTTTCCAGAGTGCAGCAGACAAGCCCCTCTAGGGCACCTAAGGGCAGAGGTTCCACTGACTTTCTGCAACTTCAGGGTTTTAAGTCTCATGATTTAATTTGAGAACTCATGCAATGTCTCAGGAAAAAGTGCTCAAAGCTGGCCGCATTTTGTCTTTGAAAGGTCAAGTGAAGATCCAGAAATAATGCTCCTCATTTATATTTATTACCTTACAAAGATCTCTGAAACATTTGAGATGAATAATAAAGAGTAGCCTACTTAATTTTAAAAAACCCCACAAAACAATGCTGTTTTGTATTTTTTTTTTTTAATCCTCACCTGAGGACATTTTTCCATTTTTTGTTCAGATAGAGTGGGAGGGGGAGAGAGACAGAGAGAGAGAGAGAGAGAGAGAGAGAGAGAGAGAGAGAAACATCGACATGAAAGGGACACTTCGAGTAGCTGCCACCCACACGACCAACCAGGGCCAGGGACAAACTGCAAGCAAGGTACATGCCCTTAGCGGGAACTGAACCCTGGTCTCTGTGGACCGCAGGCTGAGGCTCTAACTACTGGGCCAAACTGGCCAGGGCTGTTTTGTATTTTTATAAGTATATATACATATGCAAAAAAATCTGAAGGGCTAACAACAGACTGCTAACAATAGTTACTTGCTTTCTGAGATCTGGATGTAACTGAGATCTGGAGTATGGGAGGTGGCCAAAGAGGAATTTGGCCTTATAAGCAATTTTTAAATTTTTGACAAAGAAATGACGTTATATACATTAATCCTACAGATGATGCGGGGCAGGGAGGTTAGAAAATAGCACTCAGCCTGCAGATGTCCAACAGTGTGGATTAATGACAACTTTCTTTTAGCACTCACCTGCGGACACTGGCAATGGTCTCTCTGTTTTTGAAACGACTGAAGCGAGCTGTGTAGTTTAAAGTTTTCATGAAGACCTCAGAAAGTTCCTGTTCGTCCTCTGCACTCTCATTCTGTTGCTTTCGATGCTCCAGAAGCATGTGAACTTCTGAATTTAGAAGTGTCTCGGCTGTTTCAAACTCTATTTGTGAAAAGCATAAATATCAGCTGAAAATATTCCTTCAAAATCCAACTTCTAAATGTTGATTTTGGCCTTTAAGACTAGCAAGTCTCTGTCCCCACAGAAAACCAGAGGCTTCATATCCTGCAGCTTCACCCTCAGACTTGTATACCACAAGATGCAATAGAGTTCATAATACTAAGAAGCTCATTTAATGCCCAGCCGGTATGGCTCAGTGGTTGAGCATCGGCCCATGCATCAAGAGGTCGCCAGTTCGTTTCCTGGTCAGAGCACATGCCCAGGTTATGGGCCCGATCTCTAGTAGGGGGCATGCAGGAGGTGGCCAATCGATGTTCTCTCTCATCGATGTTTCTCTCTCCCTACCTCTCCTTTCCTCTTTCTCTTCTCCTTTCCTCTCTCTCTTCTCCTTTCCTCTCTCTCTTTTTTTTTTTTTATCCTCACCCGAGGATATTTTTCCATTTTTTGTTCAGACAGAGCGGGAGGGAGAGAGAGGAAGAGAGAGAGAGAGAAACATCGATGTGAAGGGACACATCGAGTGGCTGCCACCCGCACGACCAACCAGGGCCGGGGACAAACTGCAACCGAGGTACGTGCCCTTAGCGGGAACCGAACCCGGGTCTCTCTGTACCGCAGGCCGACGCTCTAACCGCTGAGCCAAACCGGCCAGGGCCTCCTTTCCTCTCTAACATCAATAAAGAAAAAGAAAAATTTTAAATCAATATAAACATTTAAAATAAAATAATTCTCTGGACCAGTGAGAATACCTATATAAGCAATATTTAAAACGAAGTTTAAAAGAAGGAAAAAAAATCTTTGGCTCCTTCCAATACTGTATGGCAACCTTTCCTTATACTTTCAGAATAAATTATTAAAATGCTATTACCTCCTGCCCTGGCCGGTTTGGCTCAGCAGTTAGAGCATTGGTCTGCGGTCCAGAGAGACCTGGGTTTGGTTCCCACTAAGGGCACGTACCTCGGTTGCAGTTTGTCCCCGGCCCTGGTTGGTCATGTGGGTGGCAGCCACTCGATGTGTCCCTTTCACGTCAATGTTTCTCTCTCTCCCTCCCACTCTATTGGAACAAAAAATAAAAAATGTCCTTGGGTGAGGATAAAAAAAAAAATGCTATTACCTCCTTGGGAAAATTTTATCTTCCTCACATTCCCCAAAGGAACATCTGTTCCTAACACTTATTACAAAGTATTAGAGCTGGCTTTTAACTCCCTTTCCCTTATCAGTGAGTTCCCGGAGCAGAAAGCATCCATAAAACGCACTTCACGTTCATAATGCACACTGATGCAGAGGGAGCAAGAGCAGAAAACCCCAGCTGCTTGCATTTACATGTGGTATGGGTCTGTGTGATACTGGGGAGATCACCCTATCAGACCAGTGCCTTCCCTGTCTCGAGCCAGGTGACAGGAGCTTCACTCTCACAATTTTCTGTGTGTGTGTGTGTGTGGAGAGGGAGGTGTCAAAAGGAAGCTTTTTATTTGAAAGGTTCTCACTGCTACTGAATATAAGGTACTCCACAGCAATTTTCTGAGGGCAGTAGTTTGAAAAAGAGGACCTTCATATTCATTCCAGCCAAAGCTTCTGAGGTGGTATACAGGTGAAGAAACTATTGCCTCAGAACAATGAGCGGAGAATGCAATGAGCATCACAAGTGACATAACCGGGAAGAAGGCAGCAGCAGCTAAATCAGGCTCAGTCTCAGCTTCTGAGGCTGCAGCATTAATACAGCCTTAGAAAATGAAACAAGCCTGGTTGGTGTCGCTCAGTGGATGGAGTGTTGTCCCACGGACTATGAGGTCCTGGCTCCATTCCTGGTCGGGGCACATGTCCGGGTTGTGGACTCGATCCCCAGTAGGGGCGTGTTTACTTTCTATCCCATACTAAAGGCTTTCCTTATCTTTTAAGTACTTACTGTTGTTTCTATATATCTACCTATATTCTAAAATACATAACACTTTATATGCCTGGCCGGCGTGGTTCAGTGGATTGATGTTTAAACGTATTAAACCTTTTAATATGTTTAAAAACATATTTTAAAAAAGAAAATAAAAATTAAGAGGCTAAGCAAGAGCTACTAATAACCCCTCCAAGTTTGTTACAGCTATTAATGTTTTTATTTATTTTTTATGTTTTTATTGGTTTGAGAGAGAGAAGGGAGGGAAAAGAGAACCACTAATTGGCTGCCTCCTGCACGCCCCCTACCAGGTATTGAGCCTGTAACCCAGGAATGTGCCCTGACCCGGAATCAAACTGGCAACCTCTGGGTGCACTGGAAGTCACTCAACCAACTGTTTTCTATTTTTTAATCCTCACCCAAGGATATTTTTCCATTGATTTTTAGATAAGAAGTGGAAAGGAGGGAGAGAAACAGAGAGTGAGCCACATCAATGTGGAAGAGACACATAGATTCCTTGCTTCCCGCAGGACCTCGACCAGGGCCGAGGATCAAACGTGCAACCCAGGTACATGCCATGACTGGGAATCGAACCCTCCATCTGATGACTGATGCTCTAACTGCTGAGCCAAACCAGCCAGGGCTGTTGAGGCTTTTAAGGCTTTTGGAAAATTGCCCAAAGTTAGAGATACCTACTTTTCCACACTAAACACATTTACCTGTGAAATATAATGGATAGAACTCAGGACACCGGGAGACTAGTCACCTGTCACTATTCCTCACTGAGGGCAATGCCAAGTACTATTTACATATCACCCTCACTCTTTTCGACTAATGAAAGGTCAAGGCAGCCCAATTATGACTTGGAGAACCTAGGAGAGGGGTGCCTGAGACCTACCACAGAGGCATTTCCAGGACTTGGATCAATAAATGGGGAGAGAAGAGGTGGTTCAAATACTTTTATAACTATGGAGAGTTAGGACCCAAGATCTCTAACCACCACAACCATTTTTAGGTGAAATCTCTAATACACACACACTACATACACTTAATTAATCTGTAAAACTAAAGGAAACAGATTAGGGGATCTATAAGTTATTAACCCCTTACAGATATATATATATAAACTTTTTCCTTTATTGCCCTGGCCAGTTTGGCTCAGCGGTTAGAGCGTCGGCCTGCGGTCCGGAGAGACCCGGGTTCAGTTCCCGCTAAGGGCACGTACTTCGGTTGCAGTTTGTCCCCGGCCCTGGTTGGTCGTGCGGGTGGCAGCCACTCGATATGTCCCTTCACGTCGATGTCTCTCTTTCTCTCTCTCCCTCCCACTCTATCTGTACAAAAAATGGAAAAATATCCTCGGGTGAGGATAAAAAAAACAAAACAAAAAACTTTTTCCTTTATTGATTTTAGAGAGAGAGGAAGTAAGAGGGAGAGAAAGATAGAAACATCAATGAGAGAGAGAACATCGATTGGCCGCCTCCTGCATGCCCCACACTGGGGATCGGGCTCACAACCTGGACATGTGCCCTGACTGGGAATTGAACCGGTGACTCTTGGTGCATAGGTCGACGCTCAACCACTGAGCCACACTGGCCGGGCTGCACTGCAGATATTTTAAGAGCAATAGCTACAACAAGAGCACAATCCCACCAAGAGTCTGCTGTGAACTCTGGTGGGACCATTGTCTTTGTTTGCTTATTTTTTGTGTCTTGAATGAAGTTAAAAGGAAATACTATAATAACAATGTGAACCAGAAAAAAAGAAAAAAAGAAAGAAAGAAAAAAGGAGCAACAGCCACAATTCACTAATCCCTGTTCCTGTAAGAAGGAAAACAATTCCTTGGCCAGCACCTCATCTGAAAATTTCATTGAATCTTTCATTGGAACCACTGATGTTTTATAAGGGTGGCAGTTTCAGGTAGTATTCTTATATTGTACATTTCCCTCTCTACTACAAAATGGTTTAGGGGAGTTCCTTAGTTGAGGGAGGGAGTGACTGGGATTACATAATCCTTTTTTAGAAAAATGACTTCCTTCCTAATTTCTTCAATAGTGCTATTAATTATATCACACAGATGAAGGACAAGTTTTATTTGTGGGCAAATGTGCTTTTGAAAACTACCCCTTGCCCTGGCCGATTTTGCTCAGCGGTTAGAGCGTCTGCCTGTGGTTCAGAGAAAACTACCCCTAAAAGTACTCAGAAGCTTTCTGTAGTCTCAATCATTCTTTCAGTCCTACAACTAATTTCACACATTTGTTTACTTTCCATCCCATAGTAAAGGCTCTCCTTATCTTTTATGTACTTACTATTGTTTCTATATATCTACCTGTATCTAAAATACATAGCACTTTATATTCCTGGCTGGCATGGCTCAGTGGATAGAGCATTCTTCCATGGACTGAGAGGTCCCAGTTTGATTCCCTGTTAGGGCACATGCCCATGTTGCAGGCTCCATCCCCAGTAAGGGGCGTGTGGGAGGCAGCCGATTGATGTTTCTCTCACATCAATTTTTTTCTCTCTCTCTCTGTAAAAGACATAAGTGAATAAAAACATACTTAAAAAAAGTAAAATACATAACACTTTATATGCCTATATCAGCTGAGAAGTTATACAGATAAGATCTATAATCTAATTATAACCAATAAAGTAAAATTTTCACATGTACCAGATGATACCTGATTTTATCAAGACAAGTATTTTCATAATGTGAAATCAAATAAACAAAAAACACTAAGTAAAAAGTACGTAAAGTCTTAATTTATCATGAAATTAAGGAAACCATCTCCTTCATATTTATTACACCTATAAAAAGAAACAAATATATATTGCCATTATGCAAAAAGACTTGTGTGAAGCTATCCTATAGAAATATTTGCACTTGAATCTATGAAATTAAAAGCTGGAAACAACCTATCAGTACAATCAGAACAGGACAGTTCTATACAATAAACCACCAAACTTTTTAAAAGCTGCATGATTTCTATAGCAAAATCCCATTTAGCAAAAAAAAAAAAAATGTACATGTATATTTATGACTAAATATAAAATCTGGAAGAATAAGCACTAAATTGTCTACAGTTTTTATTGTGAAAATAACCCATGGCTGGTGTTGCTCCGTGGTTAGAGCACGGGCCCACATACCAAAGGGTCTTGGGTTTTTCTTAATGTTTTTATTTATTTATTATTTTATTTCCTTTATTAATTTCAGAGAGAGAGAGGGAGGAAGTGAGAGAGGGAGAGAGGGAGAGAGAAACATTGACTGGCCGCCTCCTGCACACCCCCACTGGGGATTGGGCCCACAACCTGGGCATGTGCTCTGACCAGGAATCCAACCGGGACTCTTGGTGCACAAGTCCGTGCTCAACCACTGAGCGACACCAGTCAGTTGGATCTTGGGTTTTATTCCCAGTGAAGTGCCTGTACCTGGATTGCAGGTTTGGTTCTGACCCCAGTTTTTATCATTTTCATTTCTCTGACCAGTCCCTCCCTACGCCTTCATCCTGCATTTATTTATTTTTTTTTATCCTCACCCGAGGACATTTTTTTTCCCATTTTTTTGTTCAGGTAGAGTGGGAGGGAGAGAGAGGAACAGAGAGAGAGAGAGAAACATCGATGTGAAAGGAACACATCGAGTGGCTGCCACCCGCGCGACCGACCAGGGCTGGGGACAAACTGCAACCGAGGTACGCGCCCTTAGCGGGAACCGAACTCGGGTCTCTCAGGACCGCAGGTCGACGCTCTAACCGCTGAGCCAAACCGGCCAGGGCTCATCCTGCATTTAAAAGGCACAGTCGCGCTGGCCAGTTTGGCTCAGCAGTTGAAGCATCAGCCTGCGGACCAGAGTCCTGGGTTCAGTTCCCGCTAGGGGCATGTACCAAAAAAAAAAAAAGTGTCCTGAGGACTAAAGGGTCGGGTGTTCAATTCCTGTCAAGGGCACTTACCTGGATTGCGGGTTCGACTCCGACCCTGGTTGGGCTCGTGCAGGAGGCAGCTAATGGATATTTCTTTCACTATGTTTTTCTCTCTCTCCCTTCCACTCTATTTTTTTAAAAGCAATGGAGACTTCCAGTCAAGATGGCGGCGTAGGTAAACACGGGATTGCGTCCTCCCACAACCACATCAAAGTTACAACTAAACTACAGAACCATCATTCAAAACCACCTGAAACCAAGCTGAACGGAAGTCCTACAACTACGAAATTAAAGCAGCAGCTACGTCCAGACTGGTAGGAGGGGAGGGGCGGAGGCGCGAGGGGCGGAGGGGTGAGGGGCCGAGGGGCGAGGGCTGGTCCCACACCCAAGTGTGGCGGATAAAAATCAGGAGGCTCCGGTGGCTGGGAAGGTCCTTCCTGAGGACTGAGGGGTCCCCGTCCCACACCAGGTGCCCCGCTCAGGGTTCCAGTGCCAGGAAGAGAAGTCCCCATCACTTCTGGCTGGAAAAACCAGCGGGAACTGAGGCTCAGGAAAGCTGAAGCGGCTGGAGCCCCAGGCAGCTCCTTAAAGGGCCGGCGCAAGGACTTATCGGACTCTCTCCCTCTAAGCTTGGAGGGGAGGCAGCTCCAGGGGCGCTAGAGACATACAGGGAAGAACTGAGCTGTTTGGCACTGGAGTGAGGGCTGGAGAGGGGGCTTTCTCCGGGACAAACATGCTGTAAGAGGCCTTTGTTCCTTTGGTGAGCCCTTCCCTGGTGCAGCAGACAGCCGCCATATCTGGGACTCCAGCAACCTGGCTCACACTGGTAGCCCCGCTCTGGTGACTCCCTGAGGCCCCGCTCCGCCCCACCCAACTTTCAAGCCCACCCAAGCTATTGCCACTTGCTTAACCATAGGATTGGCCTGTCTTGGATCCTGCTTCAGGTTTTTCCTAAATTCTTTCAAACGAGCAGCATCTGGTCTCAGCGAGCCCCATACCTCTCATTAAGTTATACACTGAAACAAACACAGGGAGGCAGCCAAAATGAGGAAACAAAGAAGCAGGTCCCAAATGAAAGAACAGAACAAAACCCCAAGAAAAGAACTAAGCGAAATGGAGATAAGCAACCTAACAGATACTGAGTTCAAAATACTGCTTATAAGGATGCTCGATGAACTTAGTGACAACCTCAGTGAACTTAGGGAGGGCCTCAAGAGCATAAAAAAGGACCAGTTAGAAATCATGGATGCACAGTTAGAATTGAAGGAGGCATTAACTGAAATAAAGGATAATTTACACAGCTTCAATAATAGAGTACGTAAATCCAAGGAGCAAACCATCGATTTGGAATATAAGGAAGCAAAAAATGCCCAATCAGAACAGCAAAAAGAAAAAAGAATCCAAAAAAATGAGGATAGTGTAAGGAGCCTCTGGGACAACTTCAAGCATGCCAACATTCGCATCTTGGGGATGCCAGAAGGAGAAGAGCGAGAACAAGAAATTGAAAACCTGTTTGAAACAATAATGGCAGAAAACTTTCTAACTTGGTGAAGGAAACAGACATACAAGTCCAGGAAGCACAGAGAGTCCCAAACAAGATGAACCCCGAGAGGCCCACACCAAGACACATCATCATCAAAATGCAAAAGGTTCAAGACAAAGAGAGAATCTTAAAAGCAGCAAGAGAAAGGCAGCTAGTTACCTACAAGGGAGTTCCCATATGGCTGTAAGCTGATTTCTCAAAAGAAACTCTGCAGGCCAGAAGGGAGTGGCAAGAAATATTCAGAGTGATGAAAAGCAAGAACCTACAACCAAAATTACTCTATCCTGCAAAGCTGTCATTTAGAATCGATGGACATATAAAAACTTTCCCAGACAAGAAAAAGTTAAAGGAATTCATCACTACCAAACCGTTATTATATGAAATGATGAAGGGTCTTTTTGAAGAAAAAGATAAAATATATAAACCAACAAAATAGCAATGAATACATATCTATCAATAATGGAATCTACAAACAAAATGAACAGGTAGAACAGAAACATTCTCATAGATACAGAGAATATTTTGTTGGTTGCCAGTTGGGAGGGGGGTTGGGGGAATGGGTGAAAAAGGTGAAGGGATTAAGAAGCACAAATTCATTGCTAGACAACAAACCTCAAAGGGAAAGGGGTTGGGGGGGTGGGAAGAAATAAATCAAAGAACTTATATGCATAACCAATGGACACAGATAATAGTGTGGGAAAAGGTGGGAGGGGGGCGGGAGTGGGGAGGAGGGGGTCAATGGGGGAAAAATGTGGAACATCTGTAATACATTTTACATCCAACAATAAAGATTTAAAAAAAAATAAAAGCAATGGAGCCCCGATGGTGTGGCTCAATGGTTGGGCATGGACCCTGCACCAAGAGGTGTCAGTTCGATTCCCAGTCAGGACACATGCCTAGGTTGTGGGCCCGATCCCCAGTGGGGGGCGTGCAGGAGGCCATCAGTGGATGCTCTCTCATGGATGTTCCTCTCTCTCCCTCTCCCTTCCTTTCTCTCCAACATCAATGAAGAAAAAAAACTGAAAAATAAATAAAAGCAATGGAAAAGTGTCCCAGGACGAGGATTGAGAAGAAAAGAAAAAGGCTGTCACTTCTACACAAATGGAAGGGGAGCTCAGTTCCGCCGACTCTCTTCCCTAATACTGCTGCTACCCATTGCTGTCTGTCCAGGCCCCCTCCGCGTGGGCTGTGCTTATTGCGGACACCCTCCCCAGCGGAGGGACGAGACCACAGGCAGGCAGCCAGCTGCCAAGGGGCAGGGAGGGAGGACGCCGAGGGGCCCAGGCACCAGCCGGTCGCCGCCCATAGGGTGCCCGGCTGTGGACCCGGCGCGAGGCAACACCAGCCCGCCCCAGCCACGTGAAACGGTGGGCGGTAAGGCAGCCCCCGGGCCCACCTTTGGGAAAGATGAGCTGCGAGGCATCCTCCTCTACGTCGCCACCCCGCGGGTCGCTGCCGCCTGCCGCCATCGCCGCGCCGCGCACCCACGTCTGCACCGCCGGAAGTAGGACGGGCAAGGTTCAGGCCAGGAAAGGGCGGGGCCTATTGGTGGGGTGGGCGGGGCCTGGGGAGCTGGAAGACGTGGTGGGCGGGGCCTAGCGGCGTGGTGGACGGGGCCTGGCGGGGGGGAGCTGGAAGACGTGGTGGGCGGGGCCTAGCGGCGTGGTGGACGGGGCCTAGCGGGGGGGAGCGGGAAGACGTGGTGGGCGGGGCCTGGCGGGGGGGGGAGCGGGAAGACGTGGTGGGCGGGGCCTGGCGGGGGGGAGCGAGAAGACGTGGTGGGCGGGGCCTGGCGGGGGGAGCGGGAAGGCGCGTGGGCGGGGCCTGGCGGCTGGTTGTGCGAGGTCTGGAGGTGAGGGGCCTGGCCGAGGTGTCCGTCCGGTGACCCAAGGCACCGCGCTCCCGTTGTTTCTCCGTCTTGTGCCGCGAACCCTGGGGCTGGGCGCCGGCCCTTCGAGCTTCATCTTCTTCGTCGTGAAGCTGGGTAAGGACGAGAGGAGATGCGAGGATGCGCTACCTGACTGAGCCATGGCGCTCCAGTGGGCGCCCCCTGGGTAGGTGACTCCAAACACACACACCGGAATTGTTTCCGTGCCTTAAGCATTTAACATTTTTTTATTGATTTTTAGTGGATTTGAAAATTTTTATTTATACACGTTTATTTAAACCAAACTGGCGACATGCGGGGAAGCAAGACCTCACAATGACATTTCAGAGCATGTGGAAAGTGATGTTGAAAGGCCTTTAACATCCCTTGAAACATTTGGATGTTACATAGAAACGCAAGCAAAGCAAAAATTAGGCTGTTTTCAGTCTCAGAAAACAAGGCTGTAAAGTAAAGGAGGTAGTCACGGTGCACCACTCGGCTCAGTAGTGAGCAATGTTTAGGTATCATGTAAACGCTTAACAAAAAATGAGTCACCAGCCCTGGCCAGGGTGTTCAGTGGTTAGAGCATTGGCCCTGGGACACAAGGATCACGAGTTCGATTCCTGATCAAGGGCAAGTACCTGAGTTGCAGGTTTCATCCCGTCTTCCTCAGGGTGTGTATGGGAAGCAACCAATCAATGTGTCTCTCACATCCATGTTTCTCTCTGTTTCTCCCTCCCTCCTTTCCACTCTAAAAATCAATGGAAAAATATCCTCGGGTGAGGATTAACCAAAAAAAAAGAATGCCAGACAAGAGTATGTACTTAATATTCCTTTGTTTCATAAATATAATTTTTACAAAATTAATTTGCTTTGTATATTTCCAGAAAAAAATGTATTGGGCATGTTGATAAAAGAACTTCCAGCCTAAGAAAAAGTCTTATAAGACTTTATTTGAGCCCTGGCCGGTTTGGCTCAGCGGTTAGAGCATCGGCCTGCGGTCCGGAGGGACCGGGTTCGGTTCCCGCTAAGGGCATGTACCTCGGTTGCAGTTTGTCCCCGGCCCTGGTTGGTTGTGCGGGTGGCAGCCACTCGATGTGTCCCTTTCACGTCGATGTTTCTCTCTCTCTGTTCCTCTCTCTCCCTCCCACTCTATCTTAACAAAGAACAGAAAAATGTCCTTGGGTGAGGATGATAAAAAAAAAAAAAAAAAAAAGACTTTATTTGAGCCAAGCTGACAATTGTCGGGAAGCGAAATATCCACAGATTGAGAAAATGCTCCAGAGAGTGGCAGTTTTCCAGCTTATTTTATACATTAGAATCAGAGGAGGAAACATAAAGAGGGTTATATTTATTGGCAGTAGATTAAGGTGGGGGGCTGGATAAAAAGTAAAATAGAAACTTATTTTACATTAGTGGGTACAGGGCAGTTAACATTTGCAGTCCATAGAGATGGTATGTGGGCAGCAAGATAACGGAGGAGCCTGGCCTGTGGCTCAGTGTGGCTCAGTGGTTGAGCGCAGGCCCATGCACCAACAGGTCACCTTCCCAGTTGCCCAGCTTTGGTCCCAATTGCCTGGGCTTGATCCTGGAGGGGGATGTGCAGGAGTCAGCCAATCGATGTTGATGTTGCTCTCTCATTGATGTTTCTATCTTCTCTCTCCCTTCCTCTCTCTAAAATCAATAAAAACATATTTTAGAAAAAAGTTAAAAAGATAACAATGAGGAGTTCTGTGGTCTTCAGCTCTGGTTCTGTGGGTGTGCCTTGAAGGGTCTGGAAAAGAAAATTAATTTGACATTTCAAAGGTTGTTATCTTAGATGCACTAAGACAATAGATACTTTCAAAGGCCTAAGACATGATTACGCCTCATGACCTGCTTTCAGTTAGGAACTCTTATCTTCGGACTATCCTGTGTGGTTACTTTTGGTCTCTGAGTTTGTAAGACCTGCTATGCGAGCCTCCCCTGAGTTAGTCAGGTTTAGTATGTGGCCCCTTTTTGGCCCATAGGTAAGATAATAGTAGGTATATAGTACTGGCAGAGCTTATTACTGTTTTGAAGTGCTTTCCTACACACTCTGTCAGAGCTGTGAACAGATGTACTAATGAGGAGTCCTGGAACATACAGCAGCTGTGTGTGGAAATGGGCCTGGAACTCAGTGTAGGCCTCTGTCTTCTGTCTCTTCATCCAAAAGACCTTTACAGAGCAACTACGACTTACTGGACCTTACTGTGCCAGCCCAAGGGCTAGCTGAATACCCAACACTTGGTATCTTGTGTACACACAGTGGTAGAGAAGACAACAGGTGAAGAGAGGAGGAGGTTAACAAATAATATATATAGTGATGTTCATAGCTTGGTTTGTCCACATGTTCATTCAGGAAACCATTGCAAACATGAATGTGCAACATTCTGGGGTTAAAAAGACACTCAGTCGTTGACCAGTCTTCACAGGGAGCTCACCAAGAGGAGCTGATGCAAGATCTGGACTTATTTTTCATAAAAAAAGACAGAAAGTGGCAAGTGGTATAGAAGTCAAAGAAAGTGCTAGAGAAGAACACAGAGAACAAGAGGGCACTTCTGGTTGGGGGTAGATGAGTCACAAGAGGATCTGGGAGAAGGGGTTGGCACGGACACTGCTCCTCAACATGCAGTCAGAGATGGGAGAGGGGTAACGAACAAAACTGTCAAGTACATAGCACAATATTCATTCTTTAAGGTAAATTCATATTTCAACTTCCTTAGATGTCACAGTAACTATGCAAACATGGAACAATGTTATTATACATTTTCCATTAATGTTGTATCATTTTCAATCAAAATAATATCCACCTTTTGTAACCTTTTAGAGTACTTCTCAAAGAATCCCTTGTGGACTGAATCACTCATGCTTTCTACCTGGACTCAGGTGTTCTACCTCTAAAATAGAACGATAATGTTTCCCAATTCTCCATACACTCAAGGTTAATGTACACAATCTCCCAGTTTCTCAAAAATTAATCTTTGGTACCTGCTGCTGGAAGTCTGCTGATGCTACAAAAGAATCCAAATTATTAGTCTCTAGAGATACAAAGGACTGGGGTATATGGGAGGGGGTGGCGGTTGTGTGATTCTACAAACAGTCCTTCACTTCCAGGTACATAAACTCCAGAAGGCTGTCGTTGGAGTACTGGACTTGGACTCTTGTCTGCCTGTGGCAGTGCCAACCCCATTGTGCTGTGCTGGCCTGACCCTACCTGAGAAGCCCTCTTCTCGAGGTCGAGATGGCTCACTTCAGTATGCATCTCTCTCAGAAAGCCTGACCTGACGAGGGGATGAGCATGCCAATGATGCCACTTCTTTTCTATGTCCTAGTAGCTTTGAGTTCTGGAGGGTTCACACTGGCCCAGTGCCCATCTCCACCTACCACTAGAGGGCAGTCCAGACAGTCACAGCCATGCTGCCATTGCTGCGTGTGCCAGGCCAGGGCCATGCATTCTGAACAGGCTGCCTTAGACTCCTGTCACAAAGCAGGAAATTCAGCTCAGAGGAATAACTACCTCTCTGGCTCATAAATGGCAGGGCCAAGATTCGCTCTCAAGAGAATTTGCAGCCTGTGAAGTTTCCAATGTCAGCACCCTGGGTTACTTCTTTGGTTGGAGACAGAATGGCCATACCGGGGTAGGCCATTGGGGGTCTGACTAGCAGCAGGGACTTTAATGACTGGGTGACCTTGAAACTTCTCTTATTTGGTTCCCAGCATCAGTAGTTAAGTTTTGAAATTGGAGGGGTCACTTGCTTTTCAGTTTGCTGGAGGAGAGGCCCTGGAATCTCAGGGTTTCATTTCAGAATGAGGAAGACGACTCAGAGAGAATGGGACATGCCGTCCACCGCTCAGGATGCTGCTGCTGGCTCTTCGCTGTGGTTGGAGTCAAGTCCTCCAACCAGCTCAGAGAGTAAATTGCATTTCAGAGCCAGATGCTGACTGGCGCCAAGGCTATAGACCCTGTGAGCACCTCCTCCACCCCACCAGAACTAGCACCACTAATCTCTAGCTAGATACTTTAGTTCACATTTTAGACAATAGGGATAGCTAATATTGCAAAAAAACTTTTTATTCCTCACCCAAGGATATGTTTATTGACTTTAGAGAGGGAGAGAGATCAATCGGTTGCCTCCCGAGCAACCCAAGTATGTGCCCTGGCAGGAAATAGAACCCACAACCTCTGGGTGTGCAGGACGATGCAGCAACTGAGCCACCCAGCCAGGGTGGCATATTTTATGTTCTAGTGCACCACCACCACCACCACCAAACCCTACCCAAATAATGTGAAATTCCATGCTGTTTGTCTTACAGGGAATGTGGAATATTCATCTCTAGAACTACAATTTCTCTTGAAGAAACAGACCCTCTCATATACTTGGAGTTACTTCCAAACTCGATGTTTAATCAGTTGCTTGCAGTTTATTTCTGAAGTTATTATATGACCCTGATATCTAACATGTACCATATGCTTGTGAGCTCTGCCAAGTGTACAGGCCTCAGAACTGGGTGTCTTAAGAAAAAAAATTATATCCGTGTAAATAAAATTTTTTTTGTAAATAAAATTTTAAACTCAAGACTGACAATCCCAGAATATGTGTTTGAAAGGCTACTTGTCATTTTTCTCCAAACACATCTCATCTTTGCTGGGCCATCCAAGAACAATAAACCTGTCCTTTAGGTCAGAACATGTCAATGCCCCAGGATCTTTGTTTGAATTAATGCCACCAAATGATACCTTAAATTTGGGCATTTCTTCCCCGGCTTCAGTTTTTAAATTTATGGGCAAGGTCAGTTTCATTGGAAAAGCTAATGAGATCTATAAACCTTATTTCCAAAGTCCAAACTTTAAAAGGTTCAAGAAATTTCACTCTAAAAAACCAGTGGCATTGCTTCCAAACACAAAAAATATACAAGTGTTATAACACACAAAATACGCAGCCTGATTGAATACTGTCTGGTTGGCTGTCTTTAAAAATATGACTGGCCCGCCCTGGCTGGTTTGGTAGAGCGGTTAGAGCATCGGCCTGCGGTCCTGAGAGACCCGGGTTCGGTTCCCGCTAAGGGCGCGTACCTCGGTTGCAGTTTGTCCCCGGCCCTGGTCGGTTGTGCGGGTGGCAGCCACTCGATGTGTCCCTTTCACGTCGATGTTTCTCTCTCTCTCTCTGTTCCTCTCTCTCCCTCCCACTCTACCTGAACAAAAAATGGAAAAATGTCCTCGGGTGAGGATAAAAAAAAAAATATGACTGGCCCTGGCTAGTTTGGCTCAGCAGTTAAGAGTGTCGGCTCTCAGACCAAAGAGTCACGGTTTGATTCCAGTGAGGGGCATGTACCTCGGTTGCAGTTTGGTCCCCGGCCCTGGTTGGGGTTGTGCAGGTAGCAACCAATGATGCTTCTCTCTCTCACACCCTATCTGAAGATACATGGAAAATATCCTCAGATGAGGATTAAAAAAAAGATGACTGGCCCTGGCAGGTTGGCTCAGCGGTTAAAGCATTGGTTCATGGATCTAAGGGTCTTTGGTTCAATTCCTGGCCAAGGGCACATACCTGGCTTGCAGGTTAGATCCCAGCCCCGGTTGGGGTTTTGCAGGAGGCAATCAATCAACGTGTCTTTCACATGGATGTTTCTCTCCCTTCCTCTCTTCCACTCTATCTAAAAATCAATGGAAAAATACCCTCAGGTGAGGATTAACAACAACAAAACCAATAAAGATGATTGTTACCACTATGCCAAAAAAAAAAAAAAAAAAAGAAGGGGTGCCCTGGGCCTGTGTGGCTCAGTTGGTTTGGTGTCATCCTGAGCACCAGGAGGCTGCAGGTTTGATTACCAGTCAAGGGCACATGCCTGGGTTGCAGGCTTGGTCCCCAGTGGGGGGCGTGTATTAGGGCAGCAGATTGGTGTTATGCCGTCACATGGATGGTTCTCTCCCCGCCCCCCCCGCCCCTTTCCCTTCTCTCTCTGTAAAAAACTATAAACTGCGTTAAAAAAGAAAAGAGGCAGGACAAAGAACAATTTTTACCCATTATGATTTATTCTCTACAATACTTCGTTAAAGAGTTCAATGACTTGCACTCAGAAGTTATATAGCCAAGAGGCAACCAAGTGGAATAAGAATTGGTCTGAAATTCTTGCATCTGAAGGCCATACAAAGTCTCTTGCTTCCGGGAAATGGGGTTGAAAATTAACCGAAAAAAACACAAGCTCCCTAGGTTCCAGAATCTCAACAGAAAAGAACATTAACAGTTAGTGAGATTTTAGGTGTTAACATGGAAAACAGATTTGGTGCAGACATTAAAATTAACACCTAGGACTTCTGTATAGATGACTTTTATTTTAAACAAAATGTTATGTCTCAATTACAAACCTTTCGTGTTGAAAGGGTCTCTAACATGAATTGCTTAATTATGAAGCGAAAAAGTTTAAGAACCTCACAGTGGAAACAATCCAACACTGACAAACTCTAGTGATCAGACATCCTCTTTTAATGTGAAACAAACACAATTCATAATTACAGAATGTCCTAGCTGTGGGTATTATGAGACAAGCTAACTTTCCAGACCAAAAGGCACTCACAGCTAGGGATGAAACGAACTCTGAACCAAACCAGCCAAGTTGGGTCGGTTGCTGGAAAACAGCAGTCACCTACTGTTCAGCTTGAGCAGCCCAAGGACAAACAAGACACCAAGGAAAAACATTCCTTCTCTTTACACCTACCACTCACACATGCACTGGCCCTCATCGCTTCATTAGTCAAGTATGTGGAAGGCAGTCAGTTCTGGTTTGGAGCCGCCATCCCCCTACGCAAAGCCGCCACACGGATGATCCAGACTTAGTTTTCTTCCTGAGAGCCACCAGCCACCCATTTTCATGAGGTGACAATGACCACACACTTCCATACTGCTTCCTGATAAGGCCCCATGACAGTGCCATTCTTGACAGGGCCAAATTTCTCTTGGTCAACTCGAGTCCCCTTGACAAGCAAGAGGACCTGGAGTACCTGCACTGCTGGACCAGTATGGAGCGTGAGGGGATGTGCAGGGTAAGGCTTCGCAAGACCAGAGCCCACTGCATGGTGCTGGGCATGACCAGCCTGATTCCTGTGCACTCATCCCACTCCCCCTCATTTTGTGGGTTCAAATTTTCTGTTCATTTTCTTAAATGGTAGGTCTCCTACCCCACCAGCAATAAAATAAAATAAAGTAACACACTATACATTGGGGAAGACAAGTGGGGCAACATTTGTACAAGAAAAAGGCTTGAAGAGCATGGCACTGTAAATGCTTGCATGACCAGTTTCACTGAGCGTGCTCAGGGGTAAAATTTAGCACCAATTTTTTTGCTTTTTTTAATCTTTAGAAATTAAACACAACTTTTAACATGGAACACAAACAGTAATGAAGTGTAGCCCTATATATCAATACTGTTGTACAAACTGAAGGTGGGTGGTTTAGTCCCAATGGACCACCCGACATCAATTCATGGCACCTGAAAGTAACTGTCCTCGCATATGTAACAAGACATTTATTATTCTCAGCAGCAAGAAATCATGAAACGACCCCTTCATCTGCAATAGCTCTTTCATTCCTCTGCAAAGGAAGTGGCAGGGTGTGAGAAAGCAATCGGCCTGGCAGGCTGGTATGGCCCACGGCCCCTGCACTCCACAGTCTCACGGACAGAGGATGATGCCAAGCAAATCTGCCCACCTTTATTTGTCTCTTCCAAGAAATGGGACAGCAATACCTATAACAGCAGGTGTCATTTCTTAGACGGTGTCCTTGCCCACCCCCAACCCCCAATGCCTGGCAGAGGAAAACTTGAAAGATCTTTTGACTTGACTATCTATCTGCCCATTCTGAAAAGCCACACCATCATCACATAAACTTTAAAAAATAAATTAAATAAAAACATTGTGTCCACCAGGTTGACATCTAATCCACTTCAAGAGTTCTCTAAGCATGTTGCTGAAAACCAGTGTATCACCCTGAGGGTCTTTCTTCCCAGCTGGCCACCTCTTCCTGTGAATACTTTCAGCAGTGCCAATGTGACAATGTTTCCAAAGCATCTTCTAAGTCCTCAACTTCTCTAACTTTGCTACCAAACAAGTGAAGGATAGGCGAGAGAGAAGAGAAACTTGCTGACAGCTAGAGTCGGCAACAACGGCAAATGTGCCACATGAAAAACTGAATGACTTAGAATAAAGTGAGCTATTTGGAACTCTGCCCTGATGGGGTGAGGGTTCCCAGCATATTAGGCAAGATAACGATTCACCTTGTTTAATTACACAGCTTTGTTCTCAAGTCCTGTAAAGGACTGAATCATCAATTGTCTTCTCACTTCTACAGGGAAACTAGAAAAAGGAACCCCTTTGCTTTTAAGTTCCTCAAAAATGTTTGCCTGAAAAGAAAAAAACAGCTTGAAGACCCTGGATTCTCTCCTGTGACAATGTATCTTTCTAAAGCCCAACCTAGTCGCTTGTCAAACATCTGCGCTTGTCAAACATCTACGTCTCCTGTGAACCTAGATGCAGCTGTAGGCACTGCTACCAGCAGAGGAGTGAGGTAGCCGGGTGGTAAGGAAGGGGTCTCTCCTTTCACACTGTGCTGCAATGACGCCAGGCTCTCCTGCAGGCATCCCAGCTCCTTCCTCAGCAGGCACACCAGAGCTCTGTTCAGTACCAGGAGACGCAATGCAAGAGTGCCAGAAATTCCAACTGAGAGCAGGTGAGAGTAAACCTCCAGGCGGACTGAGCAATGAGATCTGCCACGCCATCCAAAGGGCTTTCGATCTTGAGGTGGGTCTCTGTCCAGGAGCCTCCAAGGACTCACGGTGCCCACGTTCAACCCTGACATGGCGTCCACTTATGAAGCATGGAAGTTGTAATCAACTGTTGGTATGCAATAAACTGGAATTTTAAAAAAGGAATTTAAAACAACCTAAAAATGTTTCTTGTTGGTCTCCGTTGCCCAGACTGCCAAGGGAACACCTACTTGATCTGGGGAGGCTGTGTGAGGGTGTATGTGGGGTAAGCCTTCAGGAACCACGACTCCAGCTTCCACTGTGTGGCCAACAAGAAGTGGTCACGTGCACGCGGAGGGTCTTCTGCACCCACAAGGCAATTCTCTCTCATCATGGAGGAGCCCCAATCCAACGGAACCCCATAATGAGGAAAGGCTGAGATAAGGCTTGGGCCCCTCAAGTTCTGTTTCATTCCATCTAACCCGTCCCTCCACCCACCCCCAAGCCAGCTGGAGGCAGACTTGGCAACGGAAGCCGGCGTCACAAAATGGTGCAGTAATAGAAGTAACTGGACCAGGAGGAGGAGGCATCTGCTCCAATGATGTCATAGCCATTGGTGGCCACAGGGGGTTGGGGCTGGTCATGCAGCCGTGTGTCAGGAGTAATGATTGTAGAGGGGCGGGGCATGGAGAGTGCCATTCTGGAAACAGTGTTGTCGAGAAGCAATATATTCTGCATAACTGATTGTCACCTTCTCACTCCGGTACCTGTGTGGGGAAACAGGGAAGGGTATTACGAACCCCGAACATTTCATCTAGTGAAGTCACTCAGCAGAGAAAACCAAACGCTTATTCCACATTTGAAGGAATAAAATGGAAGACCAAGAGCAACCTTGCTCAGAGAAATGAAAGACAGCACGGGAAAACAACGTGTTCTCACAAATGAACGGGATGAAAAAGCACAGTCACAAACCCCAAGTGTCTCCTGCACATCCCACCTCCACACACTACAATGCCCATCGTCAGGCTGCTCTGAAGCATCTGCTACGGGTCTGGAGGAAGAACTTCAAGTCACAGTATGGGTGGCAGACTGGAAGAAGCCTGTGACCAATGCCCAGTGCAAACTGCAAATCTACTTTCAGGTGAACATGTGGTCAATTGACAGAAATGCAACCTCAATTTGCAAAAAGCAACAAAGAATAACTTATAACCGAAAGGGCACAGATACCTAATTCTGTGTCAGATTCTCATGAAGCATGTTAAAGGGTCTGGGGCGAACAGGACGGGTCTCAGTTCCTGGATGAATATGCCATATATCACAGGGCCACCAGAACGGAATTCCTAGCACTGGCTTTGCTCTGGAGAGAGCCATGAGTCAGGATGCGAAGCATGGGTGTCACAGACCTATGGAGCCTACAGACCACAGGAGCTGGGCGACAGTCCTTACCCAGAGCCATCTCTTTCCCACTGTAATCTCTCCTCCACTGCAAGGTGATTATTCCTGAATTTTGACAGGGAAATGGCTGTTCAAATAAATTATCATAATAATAGTAATAATAATGCTTTGTATGTGAAGAATTTTTTTTTTTTTTTTTGAATCCAAAGCATTTCAAAAACACTGGGTTATCTTCCAAATAGAACTGTGAGGTTACTATAGGATTATTCATAATTTTATAGACTAGGGGGCCAGAAGCCCACAGAAGCTAAACTCTCAATGTTTTCTATTTCAGTAGGGATGGGAAGAGAACTAACATCTGCTGCCTGGCCCTGCTCTAGAAATTCCTCATATAGTACCTCACCACAAAGTGAAAACCCTAAGACATTACCATTCACCTCTGACAGACAGGGACTGTCCCCTCAGGGAGCAGAGCACCTGCCCCAGGCCATGTGTGGCTGAGTGCAGAGCCCAGCCTCAGGCCCAGTACACGTGTTCTCTACCCCTCTGGGCAGCCTCTCAAGCAGCATTCGCCCCAACAGCCAGAGGGGTTTTCCTTGAACCTTATCAAAAGCATTTCCTGACTACTCCTCTAATGTGATACCTGTATCCCTGCCACCTGACTGCCTGTGACTTCAGCTGCCTGGCCTTCTGCACTGGGAGCTCTCTCTCCTGACTTCGACCTCCCCCCTCGGGCTCCCCCACCCTGAAATCTGGCACAAACCCTCACCACTGGCTCAGTGGCCTCACCCTGCTCCCACCCTGCTCCAGGCCTAGCTGTCGGGGCATCTCTGCCCTCGCTGCCTCCTCATACCTCTGGAGTTCAGAAAGCAGGGACACTGTTTTCTTCCCCTTTCTATCAAAAGTACCCTCCATCCAAACCCAACTAAATTCAAATGACAAGGAAAACGCGGATGGGGTTTACCTGGTGAGTTTGATCGTTTTCCTGAATTCACTGGTGATGGGAGCCTTGAAGCCGCCTTTCCTGAGTAAGGAGTCTATTGTCTGGATCTGGTCCCAGTCTGGGGAGAGGAGACACACGGAGGTCACCCCACAAGGATAGAGCGGGCATGCTCTGACAGCGAGGAGAGGGGCAGCCACATTTGCTAGCGCAAGTGGGGAGCCTTGGGCACTGAGTCATCTGACTCACTGACAGTTCAGGGACAATCTTGGAGACATGAGATTAAGGCCTGACATGTGCCATATGGCTGTGTCCAGGCCCCTGCTCCTGCATCTTTTCTGTAAGAGGTGATTCCAGTGTTAAGTATCTAGGAACAAACATGGTCCCAACTTCGACCGGCCTGTTGCCCTAGTTCTGATAACCAGGGGTCTTCTGTGGAAAGAGAGAATTCAAATTCCGCAGCTTCTATTCCTCTGTGTGGCCTTCCTTCATTTTGATGATTTCTAGGAGTCCTGTTTTTAATACAGAGAATTGATAGCAGGAAGGAAGCTAGTCCTTTAAAAGGATCGGAAAACTGTTCACACACATGCTGTGTTGTTCTTACACACTAAAAAGATTTTTTTCTTTATTTATTTTAGAGGAAGAGGAAGGGAAAAGGAGAGATAGAAACATCAGTGTGAGAGAGAAACTTCGATTGGCTGCTTCCTGCACGCCCCCTACCAGGGATTGAGCCTGCAACCTGGGCATGTGCCCTGACCGGGAATCAGACCAGGACCTCTCAATCCATGGGGCAATGCCCAACCAACTGAACCCCACCAGCCAGGCTAATGGTATTCTTTTAAAAGAGAAAACCTGCCCCATCTATTTCCTACCTTCAATGTCGCAATTTAAGAACTCAGTAACTACCAAGTTCTTTTTTCTCCACACCCCACTACTAAGTTCTTTAAAAATCAGGAGAAATTACGTTTTCCTTTTTCCAAGTATACTACTGATTGACACTCATGACCAAGAATTCAGAACACCTGATGTGGGCAGTGCCCCTTCATGATGAACCCCATGACACGGTCAGGTTGATGTAGAATTTTGCTACAGTGACCAATCTCGGGGGATAAGAAATAAAGTTATTCACTGAAAGTAAGACAAGCAAGGAGAAATCTTCACTCCTTGTCTTTTCTCAGCGTCCGCATCTTTTTGAGAGTTTATTTCTCCTTCTGTAAGAACTGAGAGGTACTAAAAGGAAGGCGCTCATTCCTTGGTGCAGTTAGGCTGAAAGACAACACGCTCCGTTTTCCTGCCCATATTGGGCCACACTCTGGACACCGTTGTTCACTGTAATTCCATTTGTGCTACTCACCTTGTTCCTTAGCAACCTCAGGTAAATATGTGGCTGTACGTTTGACACCTTTTTCATTGAGGAATTCAATTCGAATCCCATGGACCCCTACCTACAGAAAAAAAAACACAACCAAATAAATGGCAATTATTTATTCTAAGGGAACTTCAGCCATCCACATATAAACTGACATTGTCCCCTGACCAGCTTGACCCAGGTCTGAGAAAAGGAGAACCTCTCGATTTTCATTAGTAATGTTCTGTCAGATAAGAAGCCCAATAACTAGCTTGAGAGGTGTGATTCCACATGTAGTCACCTCTCTGAGAGTATGCAGTTACAGAAATAAATCCTTTCATAGCTCATCTGATCATCTTGAATCTTCACCTTCTATCTATTCCATTAAAGGAACGTGCCAAGGGTTTTGATCTGGGTTCATGACTCTTCACAAATGACTCTGCAGAACAACTTTATTCAGGGCTTCAGCAAGCGGGATCTGGAACATCGCGCTCCGTCCTCCTCGTTGTTTTTTATTAACATGGGAGAAGAATGAACCCAAGTGGACGGGGGCGAGGGAAATGCTTCACGAGTCTTCCTGCTCTGACACGGTGGGCCCTCCTGTCACCTAGGTCGCTCACACTGCTTCCAGACTCAGCCTCCACCTTCTCACACCCTCAATGAAGGAGATGCATTACCGTGTACTAACCGAACCCAAATGCAACGAGACGCAGAGTTCCAAATGCGGCTGCTCTCACCTCCCAGTCCAGGTAATCACTGGCATCCTCGAAGTTAGTGAGGAGGGAGACAGAGCAGGAAAGTTTGGGCAGCTCCTCTCGGGTCAGGGGGGGGAACCGGCTGTCCTTAAGTGCACTGGGAGGGACAAGAAACGTTAAGTGAGGCTACTCTGGCATTGGGAGCACATGCCCGAGTATTTCTGGCTCGAGTTACGCAGAGAACGTCTATCATCCATTAGCACTTAGGTGCTAAAAAACAACTTGATGCTATTAATTGTCTACACCTGAACTGGTAAGGGACTCACCAGATTACAGCTTCCATATTTCCTGATTAAAAGAAAAAGAACACTCATTCTTCATTACTTGGAAGATATAAGTCAGGCAGTTGTTTTTTATTCTGTTGATAAATTTGATTGCCATTTTTCCTACTGATCTGATGCCTCATGTAATTACCTGGTTAACGTGTATTCCCTGAGTCCTGAGTGAAGATTCATGGCTGAGAAGGTCCCAATGCAGCCACGAAGCCGCTTGTCCCGCCCTGTCTTCCATGTCACAAAGAGCGGACTACAAAAGCAAAACACAAAACACTCCAGTCCTAAATCAATCATGGGTAAGAACAAAACCTTGGCATTATTCCTGTTCATTTGTTATTCCCTAAAAGGATTGTTTTCTGAATTGCCAGCTATCTGAAGGACTCTCTTCCCTGCTGGGAGTCGTGCGGTCCCTTGTGGAAATGAAGGGGACACCTTGACCAGGCAGCACGCAGGAGGTCTCTCTGGCCAGCCTGTCCTATGTGCCTTGCTGACAGACACCACATGCTATGTTCCTCTTCCTCTGCCAGGATTCCACTTTTTTCCTTCTAATTCTCCATGTCTTTCTCCTCTTCTTGACTCTATGCTGAGTGTCCAAGTTCCCTCAATCCACCCTCATGAAGACAAACGGGCCTGTGCACCTTCTCATCTGCAAGCTCGCCCTGCAATCCCGCCGCTCTCACAGTGAGCTCTGTTGCTGGCAAATACACACACTCCTGCTCATGAACATTCAGAAAGAAAAACACGGTCCTGCAGAGAGCTCACCATTAGCAGAAGCTGTCCCTTTCTGCTTCCAGTCCAAAATCAGGCTTCGTTAGGCTACCTCAGACGGATGGCAACAAGTTGTTGAGAAAGAGGTTATGGTCTGTCCCTCTCCTCGAGAGTAATCCACCCATGTTCCTGTGCCTTTACCTCTTCGATTCTCGAGTTAAACACTTCTTAACAGCCACTCAAACGTTCGAGCTGCCTATTCCTTTCATCACGGTGCGAAGCAGCTCTCCCACCAACACGCCTCTCCCTTGCACTAGACACTCCAACAGCACCTGCCAGAGCTTCTGTCTCAAAATCTACTCAAAGCCCCTCCCAAGTATTCCACTGTCTGCAGGATGGAAATACGAACTCCCAGGTTAACAGCCCACTCTGCACTGCTGCAGCCACCACCCACTCCCCCAAACCTGTGTCCCTCTTCTTTATAGGACACCCCGCCTGATCCCACACACCAAGTTCGAGCATCTCCACCTGCGAAGTGGGGGTTTTCTGCTCACAGCGCCCTATGGCAACACTGCCCTAACCGTTAGAACCCTTTCTCACATCTCCTCTCCTCTGACACAATCACACAGGAGTGACTTCCCCTCCACGCTGCCTGCACAGTGTGCCACACATTATTTAACTGTGTGCGGTTGGCCAACTCAATCAGTCTCCCCAGAACAAGGACTTTCCTTCATGCTCTCCATTCCCTGCCCAGTGGGTTGTGCAATGTCTTAGTAGGCCGAGAAGTGAGTGAGCTCAAGTGAGCGAGTGCTCCAAAAGCATCTCCTAAAAACAAAACTCAAAAAGCTCTTTCAAGCCAGCTCAGAGCTGCTTCCAGTTGAGAAAGGAACAAACACTGGCATGAGTTTCCTCACTTTATGCACGTTTACATCACTGACGTGAGAGGGTTAGGGACAAACAACAGAGTCTGGAATTAAAAGCAGTAAAATAGATCCTGGCACTCTGGGTGGGGTGCAACAGCCTAAGGACCACCACAGGATTGCCGATGAACAAAGAGGGGACCCTCCTTCAAAGTATCGCAGCTCCCACTATAGGAGCTCCTGGTCTCCAGCCTGGCCCTCACACCCTCCCAACTTATTTGGACTTCCACCACTACTGGGGCCAACAACAACATGCAGTATGACTTCTACACTGAACTGAGTAAATGACCTACCCACAGCCATTGAAACAACATAAGAGCCAAAAAAAACAATCATCCTGATTTCCAGAACATTACTTTAACAAGCTTACACCTCCTCCAAGCATAATCTAGTCCCTTTCCAATACTGAATCCAGTGAACATTCTAGATAATGTTGGACATTTTTCATCATCCTGTTCCTATTATCCTCTGCTCAAGTCATGTTAAAGCTTTTAAAAATAGTAGAAAGATGCCACTCAGCCTCTCCCTGTCCCTTTACTGCCCTGATGGGTTTACTCACTAGGGGTCATTGGTGAACCTAGGAAGTCGCGGCTGTGGGAAGCCATAGAGGTGACAGTAGAGGACGTCGAAGCAGTAGCAGCACATCTCTGCAGTCACCACCAGATTCTTGGTGGTGTTGGCAGTTCCATTGGGTCGGGGCAGAGGGCTCAGAGCCCCCGATGCGGGATTCATGCGTGTAATGGGAGAGTTTCCAGGTCCCAGAGTTAAGTCCGGCACATTCTCCCGACCACTGCTGCCATCCACATGCTGGTGGTTTTGAAGAGGTCCTGAACTAGAGCCGGGGACACTTGTGGACTGGTTCCCGTGAGTGTGCGTTCCGCTTCCAGACAGCTTGGGCTTCTTGACCCCACAACAGCCTGCTGCCAACTTGGGCTCGAGTGGAGGAACACAACGTCTTTTTCCCATCCTGATTCAGTGCTCGAGTCTGGAATGCTACAGAACCCTAACCAGAAAGAGAACAGATCAGCATTACTTCAAATGATTAGCTAAAAAGAGAAAACAAGCACCAGAAAGAAAGCCTCCACAAAGAGGCAAGATTCATCAATTCTCCTTCTCACCCATGTCACATGGTCACAAAGGGTCACAGACCAGCAGGGCTAGAAGAAACCCTGAATTCCAGAGCAGGAACTCCCAATCCTTTTAGTACAGGGGAATGATTTTTTCTATGCCATATAGCTATGATAACCATGGACAGAGGCAGGCAGTGAGGTCCTCCCTTGCCAGGATTCTCCAGGACAGAGGGACTTGGGGTGGCAGCCATTGTGAAGCTGGACGATAGCGGACACTTCAAGACTGGCTGCAAGACTGCACTTGGCTCGCCAGCCTCTTCACCAGGTTGCTCTCCCGACCACGCCAGAGGTCCAAAAGGAACCACTCTATTTTGGAAGGACCCCAGAGGAACTCTCATGCGTTTCCTGTTAACCACATCCTTTCAGCCTTTTCCTCGCCACTAACCTAGATGTGTGTGGAATTTCAGCCCCAGTTAGTGAAGGTGGAAAGCAGTTAGCTGCCATTCTGAAAAGAGCACCTTCTAACACAAGGCTCATCTCTCTGCTCGCACAGCCACCGTCCTCTAATGCTACTCATTTCCATTTCTACACATCTCTCTATCCTTTTAAGACCTCATTCAGAAAAAGCTACAACCTTTATTCATACAAATGACCCAAGCTTCACAGTCCTTTTGTGAGGTAGCCATTTTGCCCTGTCATAGCAAAGCAGATACATGCAAAGCCATTCAGTTTCACATGATGTGGCAGCAGATGGCCAGAACCCAGCGTGCTCCATCTAATGGTGTGCAGGGGAGGGAGGCACCTTTCTACTGAATTTTTTCCTCAAAAAGCTGAAGGTAATAATGTATAGCTATAACACAACCAAGATCCTCTTTCTGTTGTGTCAATAATCAACAGATTCAGGAAAACAGATCCTATTATTTCAATATTGATTTACCAAAGTCTGTAAAATTCTGTTGACTTGAGAAAAGTATATTGTTTTTTTCTCAAGTCATTACATGTTAGTTTTAGCCCTCCTCCAAATGATGTATGTATTATCCTACCTAAAATGTTCTCTGATTTAAACGCAATGCATATGTCCAGCTGGTATGGCTAGAGTGGTCGAGTATCGATCTATGCACCAAGAGGTCGCCGGTTCGATTCCTGGTCAGGGCACATGCCCAGGTTGTGGGCCCAATCCCTAGTGGGGGGCATGCAGGAGGAGGCCAGTCCATGTTCTCTCTCATCAATGTTTCTCTCTCTCTTTCCCTCTCCCTTCCTCTCTCTCTAAAATCAATTAAAAGAAAAAAATAAACACACTGCACATGACTGCCTTTAAAGGCATTGCTTCACAACATAAGAGTTTTGGTTACACATTCAACGGCCTTTTAAATCAAATCAGATGTTTACCTACCCATTTGCAATGCTATTATTACTATAAAAACTGCCACTTTAAGTCAAATGAGATACAAAAATTTCACAAATATTACTTGTTTATGTTCTTAATATATGCTGATCCATAACAAAATACACTTTTCTTTGGTTAATCCTCACCTAAGGATATTTTTCCATTGAATTTTAGAGAGTAGAAGGGAGGGAGAGAGAAACAGGGGGAGAGAGAGAAAGATAAACATCGATGTGAGAGAGCCACGTCGATTGGTTGCCTCCCACATGACCCTACCTAGGGCCATAAATCGAACCTACAACCCAGGTACATGCCCTTGACTGGGAATGGAACCCCAACCCTTTGGAACAAAGGCTGTTGCTCTAACTGCTGGGCCAAACCAGCCAGGGCCAAAATATACTTTTTTACTCCTTTATTGATTTTAGAGAGAGAGGAAGGGAAAGGGAAAGGGTGAGATAGAAACATCGATGAGAGAGAACATGGACTGACCTCCTCCTATATGTCCCCCACCTGGGATCAGGCCCACAACCTGGGCATGTGCCCTGACCGGGAATTGAACTGGTGACCTCTTGGTGCATGGGTCCATAGTCAACCACTGAGCCACACCAGCCAGGCCCAAACTACACTTTTTTCTAGAGCAATTCTTAGTGAGATGAAAGTTGTTTGTAGCCAAGAAATAATACTTTGTATACGTCAATGTCTAGCTTGAAACAGACTTCTTTTTGAGAAAGCCTTATGCACTTAATCCATTAAAACATCCAAAAACTATACTGTTTCTGAGCATAGACTTCATTGTCTTGTTCAGATGAGTAAAAGAGGGAGCAGAACGTCTTGGTTGAAAAATACTCCATGCCCTGGCCAGTTTGCCTCAGTGGCTGAGTGTCAGCCTGCGGACCAGAGACTCCCAGGTTTGGTTTTCACTAGGGGTATGTACCACCAAAAAAAAAAAAGAAGAAGAAAGAAAAATACTCCAGACCTCACACCTGTCAGAATGGCCGCCATTAACAAATCATCAAACAACAAGTGCTGGCGAGGGTGTGGAGAAAGGGGGACTCTAGTACACTGCTGGTGGGAGCGCAGACTGGTGCAGTCACTATGGAAAACACTATGGTGTTACCTCAAAAAGTTAAAAATTGAACTTCCATTTGACCCAGTGATCCCACTTCTAGAAATATACCCTAAGAAATCTGAAACACCAATCAGAAAGAATATATGTTCTTTCTGGAAACAACCCAAGTGTCCATCAGTAGATGAGTGGATTAAAAAGTTGTGGTACATGTACACAATGGAATACTATGCAGATGTAAGAAAGAAAGATCTCTTATCCTTTGAGGTGGCAGAGAAGGACCTGGAGAGTATTATCCTAAGCAAAAGAAGCCAAGCAGAGAAAGACAAGTATCACATGATCTCACTTATTTGTGGAATATAATGAACTAAACAAACTGCTGAACAAAATTAACCCAGAGACATAGAGGTGAGACTGACAAGCCTCAGAGGAGGGGGAGGTTGAGGGGGAACAGATAAACCACAGAACTTACATGCATGTATGCACGATCAATGAACATAGACAACAAAGCTGGGGGTGGGGCGAGGGGAAGGGGAGGAGGGTGTCAATGGGGGAAAAATGAGAAACATCTGTAATAAAAACAAATAAATAAAAATTAAAAAAAAAAAAGGAAAGAAAAATACTCCAGCCAGCATGACTCAGTGGTTGAGCGTGGACTCATGCACTAAGAAGTCGCCGGTTCAGCCCTGGCTGGTTTGGTTCAGCGGTTAGAGCGTCAGCCTGCGGTCCTGGGAGACCCGGGTTCAGTTCCCGCTAAGGGCACGTACCTCGGTTGCAGTTTGTCCCCAGCCCTGGTCGGTTGTGCGGGTGGCAGCCACTCGATGTGTTCCTTTCACATCGATGTTTCTCTCTCTCTCTCTCTGTACCTCTCTCTCCCTCCCACTCTACCTGAACAAAAAATGGAAAAATGTCCTCTGGTGAGGATTAAAAAAAGTCGCCGGTTCAATTCCCGGTCAGGGCACATGCCCCGGTTTTGGGCCTGATCCCCAGTGGGTATCATGCAGGAGGCAGACAATCGATGTTCTCTCTCATCAATGTTTCTCTCTCTTTTTCTCCCTCTCTCTCTAAAACCAATAAAAAGAAAAAAAAGTATTACAAAAAAATACTCCAGAGCCAAATGGCCTGGGTTCAAATCTCAATTCCTTCAGGATTACCTCTCTGACTCAGTTTCTTCGCAGGGGCTAACTGGACTTGCCTCGTGTGCGTAAGGAGTTGTTTAATACATGTCAGTGCGTAACACAGTGTCCTGCATATAGTTGAGTGTCCATTTATTCAGCTGCTCTCCCCACCTGGATTTTGTCTGACAGCTCCCATAGGTGAGGAAGTCCTGGGGGCAGGACTGCACTGCAGCACTCACATCCAACAGGTGCTCTTTAGCCAGGTGCACAGAACCCTCAAAACCACTCAGCAGACAGATGATGCTGCCATTATTTTACAGAGGCGGGACCTCAGGTTTAATAAGCCAGATAACAGGCCCAAAGATGGACTGCCACTAAGTGGCAGTTAGAATTGGGACCACAATCTACCTTTTAGACTCCATGGCCTGGGTTTTCTCACCAGGCCACGAAGTGTGAGGCCTGCCAATAATAGCCGCTGGATTCAGTCCCTTTCCTAAGGGCATGATGAAAAACGAATTACATTCAAGGGTATACCAAAAACTAGCCTAATAGTGTACAGAATCCTGCCAAGAAAAATGGAGCAAGAAAAAATAAAATCAAAATCAACACCTCAGCCATCACCTGGACAATTACCAATTCCCCGGACATTGTCATTTGAGTTCACAATGGATGGCACTGGCCTCTGAGCTCTCGTTGAACTTTCCACCCTGCACATAACACAGGGAGGGGTTCAGGGTGTTAATATTGTTGAATGACACAGCAGAAGAATCTCTACAGAGCTGGAGCTTTTCTTTTCTTTTTTAAAAAATACGTTTTTATTGATTTTTAGAGAGAAAGGAAGGATGAGGGAGCAAGAGATAGAAACATCAATACTTGCCTCCTGCACATCCCCTACTAGGGATCGAGCAACATGGGCATGTGCCCTGACTGGAATTGAACCAGCAACCTCTTGGTGATGGGATGACGCTCAACCACTGAGCCTCACCCACTGGACTAGAGAGCTGGAGTTTTAACACACCAACGGGGCCCAGAAGCTCTGCCTCTAGAGAGCCCCAAAATTCAAAGAAACAAAGAGCAGGGATGAAACACAAAGGTTAAAAAATAAATCTTTCATCACTCTCATTACACCAAAGCACAGCAGAAGGAAAAGCTAGATTTTATGAGATGGTGGTAACTCAGGTGTTTCTTGTTTGTTTGTTTTGCTTTTATCCTCAACCAAGGACATTTTTCCATTTTTTGTTCAGGTAGAGTGGGAGGGAGAGAGAGGAAGAGAGAGAGAGTGAGAAACATCGACGTGAAACGGACACATCGAGTGGTTGCCACCCGCACAACCCAACCAGGGCTGGGGACAAACTGCAACCGAGGTACGTGCCCTTAGCGGGAACTGAACCCGGGTCTCTCTGGACCACAGGCCGACACTCCAACTGCTGAGCCAAACCGGCCAGGGCAACTCAGGTGTTTCTTAGCAGGTGTTAGTCAACTACCTGAAGGGCAAACAACCCAGAACAGAATAAAAGAGATTTTCACATTACACCAAGGCAGAAGAACTGAAGTCTGGGAATATTCTTCCTGCACACAATGGACAACACTGATCCGCAGTGGGAATGATCACAACAGATTACATTTAACAACTACCCCATCCCCTCCCAGACTATGATTTGAAATCAATAGAACCAATCCCAATCTTGTGGTTCTTTAGGTCCAAGCAAACAAAGTAATCGATATTCTCAATTAGTGATCAAAGACAGCACTAAAGACTCTCTGCATCAAAGACATATTAAAAAGCACTGCTTTAAAATTTTATTCTATAAAAGTAGATCTACAGAAAATTCAAAACATAAAATAGCATAATGAACTCAATATCCAGCTTTAATACTTAAAAAAAAAGTTTTATTGATTTTTTTTAAAGAGAGAGGAAGGAAGAGAGATAGAAACATCGATGAGAGAGAACATCAATTGGCTGCCTCCTGCACATCCCCTACTGGGGATCGAGCCCGTAACCCGGGCATGTGCCCTGATCGGAAATCGAACCAGGACCTCTCAGTTCATGGGATGATGCTCAATCCACTGAGCCACACCAGCCTGGCAATAAAAATGTTAGAAAAAAAGAAAAAGAGCCAGCTGGTGTGCCTCACTGGTTGAGCATCGACCCATGCACCAAGAGGTCGCCAGTTCAATTCCCAGTCAGGGCACACGCCCAGGTTGTGGATCCAATCCCCAGTGGGGGGCATGCAGGAGGCGGTCAATCGATGTTCTCGCTCATCGATGTTTCTGTCTCTTTCCCTCTCCCTTCCTCTCTCTAAAACTCAATAAAGAAAAAAAAATTTTTTAATGAATTTAAAAAAAAGAAAAATGTTAAGTAGCCCTGGCCAGGCGGCTCGGTTGGTGGGGAGCTGTCCCGATAAGCCAGGTTGTGGGTCTGACCCAGGTGAGGACACATGGGCACGCAGCCAGTGAATGCAGGGGTAAGTCCAACAACAAACCACCTCTCTCTCTCTCTCTAAAAATCAGTACATAAAAAATAAAATGTTAGGTAAAACGGTACTGGTAGTAAATACTTTTCAATTACAGTATTAACAACTATCCACCAATTTCATCACACCTTTCTCTTTAACCCTGCAAAGAAGGCATCTTACCACCACCAAGCAGCCCCAGACTCGGCTCCCAGGACCCGCCCTACCACGAGGAGACACTCATTCTCCAACAGTTCTGCGTCTGAGAGCACAGTGTAAGATACCTGAGAATAACAGAATTTCAGTACAATAAACCCAAACCTGTCTGACCTGATTTCAAATCAAAACAAAACAAAACAAACCCTAAAGACATACTCAACATCTCTTCTAAAATGATGTTGGAATTTGTTCTCACTCTTCCTCAAAAACTGCCCTGGCTGGTTTGGCTCAGCAGTTAGAGCATCAGCCCCCAGACCAGAGAGTCCTGGGTTCAGTTCCAGCTAGGGGCAAGTACCTTGGTTGTGGTTTGTCCCCGGCCCCGGGTGGGGTTGTGTGGGTGGCAGCCACTAGATGTGTCTCTCTCACATCGATGTTTCTCTCTCTCTCTCCAGCTCTATCTGAAGATAAATGCAAAAAATGTCCTCGGGTAAGGATAAAAGAATAAATAAAAAGAAGCAGAATCTTAAAAAAACAAAACAAACAAACAAAAAACACCTCATAAAAACTACCCCAGATTGCACTTTGATCATAGTAGGATTAGCTAAATGGTCACTCTAGAGTCAGTTTACCTGAAGTAACTGCAAACAGGTTTCACAGACACAGTGTCACCGGACCCTCTCAAGCCTTCGGGTGGTTACTTTCAAAGCTAAGCCCAATGGCCACTTTAAGAGCCAGTAGTAGTGACCTCATTCTCCTGCCCACTTGAGACGGACAAGGAGGAGTTATTAAAATGGATTTCCACCAGATGGAGACAAAGTCATACTTCCACAAAAAGCTGGAAGAAATAAAGAAAATGTTTTACCTCTTCATTTCAGACCTCCTAACGTAGCAATGATCAAATAAAGTATGCTCAGTGTTGAAAAGTCACTACACCTTCACCTGACATGCAACACTCCAGTGTCCTGCCCTTCCTTAGGGTCCACAAGGCCAGATGGCAACTCTTCTTCACCTGCTCAGGGTAGCTGAGTAGAGGGCCCTACTGCCAACCCCATTCTCCCGGCACTGCATCCATCCTCACCTTTCGTCTCAGAGGCTGGGTGGTCTCTGTTTTACCTGTCACGACACCTAACATGGTGCCCTGCATCTGTATGCACACCAGCAATCTTATTTGCAGATCACTTTGTAATTTCATTCCAGTTTGCCTTTTTTATAAAAAGTGTTTATAGCCCTGATCGGTTTTGCTCAGCGGTTAGAGCATCGGCCTGCGGTCCAGAGAGACCCGGGTTCGGTCCCACTAAGGACACGTACCTCAGTGGCAGTTTGTCCCCGGACCTGGTTGGGTCGTGTGGGTGGCAACCACTTGTTGTGTCCCTTTCACGTCGATGTTTCTCTGTCTCTCTTTCTCCCCCTCCCACTCTATCTGAACAAAAAAATGGAAAAATGTCCTCAGGTGAGGAATAAAAAAAACAAACACAAAAACAACCAGTGTTTATAGCACAACCTAATCTTTAGATACCTGGTTCCATCCTGATGTGCTCACTAGGGAGCGTGTCAGAGACTGAAGCTGAATTCTAGTATCTATTCTTTTCAACAATGCCAACTCCATTCAGCCCAAACCCAGGAATGGTTTAATTCAGAACAAAACCGATAGCCAATGTGGACAATTCATCCAGAAATTAGGTCAAACATCTTGGTTTGATGTATGCTGGTAGCTATCTTCTTTGCTAAAACACAGCAGTAACTGGTCAGGCCTGAACTTGGCCACAGGTGATATTTAACTTTAGGTTGTTCAAAGCTTTCTTTGGACAGGTCATATCTACTTTCTAAAGTGCACTTGAAAAAATTTTCTTTCCTTTGATTGATGGGGCACTTTTATTTGACTGGATGGCAATTTATGATTTCAGGAGCTAATACAAATGACGTCTTACAAGTTGCTAATGTTTACAAACGGTATAATGACCAGTACTGAGGGGAGGATGTGAGGATACCCTGACTGAAATGGCTGGCTGGACAATGGACCTTCTCCCTCACTAGTGGTCTCTTCCAAGACTCATAGGTCACTGTTGATACCAAGCCAACATCTTTTTAGAGCAGTTCCCATCTGCAGAGGATAGAACCTAGGCTCTGGGGTCATAGTCTAGGCTCCAACCCCTATGGTGACATGCCACATACTGGCTGTGCAGACTCAGGCCGCGGTCACATCTGTGTGGACTTGGGCTCCTGCTGCCACACAAGATCACCTGTGAGGACTCAATGGGCACACATGAAGGGCACCTCGCAGTTCTTTGGCATGTAACTGCTATTTATTAAGCGCCTACTATAACCAATACCACCACCACTATTAATAAAAGCAGGGTCAGTTCCAAATCAACACAGCTCTGAGTTCTTACCATTTCTACAGAAACCAGTGCCTTCATAATAAAATTCCACTAAGAACCACCTTACAGTCTAAAAGACCACATCATTAATGTGATTATCACGCCAATGACCTTAATGCTTTCCTCTTCAAAGTGCAATGATTTCTAATAAATCATCCACTGCTCTTTTCACTGTGAAGGCCAGAAAACACAAAGAAAGAACACTGAGCGTCTGAGAGGTGTGCCCAGTTCTACTCTACCTGGCTCCTTCTCTAAGCTTATACAAAGAAGAAAATAAACTCGCTAAGTATCCTATTATTATAGATGTCTTGAATACTAACTAACACAACTATTGCATCAAAATTAGATTTCAAATAATCAGATTAAAATAGCTAGAAAAGCCTAGAGGTGAAAAAAAATCTAGCTTCATCCTTTGAAGACAAGCCTCAAAACAGTTTACTGGGGAAGGCATACATAACCTTACAACAAAGAAAGACTGGTAGTAGCAAAGAAGCAGAGAAAAACAAGGTCTCTGCATTTTTTTCTTTTATTAGTGTCCAGATATCCATTCAAATCAAGCTTCATACAGAAGGGAACAGACTGCTGTTTCCTCTGTGACAGAGTGAACACAAACTGAACCATCCAAGCAGTGAGATGGCACCTGAGACACAATTCTGGCCTACTTAAATGGAACCATTCCAAACAATGGTCCGATGAGATCCAACAAACATTCTGGTAATCATTTCAAATCATAATTTCCACATTTTTGAAACCCCATCATACACAAAACAATTGCTTGTAAAAATGTTTCCTGGAAAACATAGACCTAACTATATAATTACTTTAAAAGTTATAGATTTAGAAAACTGCACAGAACTACACATTTTTATGTGAACTTAGCTTAAAGAAAAACATGAAGATAGGAGTGAAAAGTTGTTTTGTGTTTAGATCCCTCCCTTTACTATGTGACCTATGGCAAGGAGCCAGCTCTTTCTGGGCCTCAGTTCTTTCATTTGTGAAATGAAAATATTTGTTCCCCGCTCCCCTCACAGAGGTTTGTGAGATGTGAAACTCTCTTACAAGTATCAGCACACCATTATTAATAAGCTCCAAGGAATCCCTGGCCAGGTGGTTCAGTTGACTGGAGCACTGTCACATGCATCAAAAGGCTGCAGAGGTCTGATTCCAGGTCAGGGCATGTACCTAGGTTGCAGGTTCGATCCCTAGTCAGGGCACCTATGGGAGGCAACTAATCAATCTCTCCCCCTTCCTCCCGCTCTAAAATCTATAAACAGCCCTGGCCGGTTTGGTACAGCGGCTGGAACACTGGTCTGTAGACCGAAGGGTCTTGGGTTCAATTCCAGGTCTAGGGCACATACCTGGATTGCAGGTCCAACCCCCAGCCCCAGTCGGGGTCATGCATAAGGCAGCCAATCCATGTGTCTCTCTCACATGGATCTTTCTCTCTCTTCCCCTCTCTCCCTTCCTCCTACTCTAAAAAAAAAATTGATGGAAGAATATCCTCAGGTGAAGATAAAAAAATTAAAAATTAAAAAAAAATCTCTGAACATTGTAACTGTATGGAAGACCCAATAATTGACTCTGACAAGAACTACAATGAGTTATGCTCTTTGGTTTTCTGTTTGTTTTTTTTAAAGAATAATTTGGGAAGGGGGCAGGGCCAGACTTATGTTCTAAAAACATAGAGGGAAAGTATGCTACACTACCATCTAGGTCACTCTACTAGGATTACAAACAGCAAACTTGTCTTTACATATTTATTTTAACAGAGAGCAAGTGGAAAGAATTTCATCAACATTAAAAAGCCCTACATGGAAGTAGAAAAATCCAAAGTGAACAAAGTGAAACCTATATCCTACAGGCCTAAGACAACAAAAAAACAATGAAATTCTATTCTAAAGATCCAAGATGATACTCACTGAAAGCAGAAAGTTTGTATTGCCAGGGGAACAGCTATAACAGAGGAGGGGAGCTATTTTGTCTCTGAAATGAATTTTCTTCCTTCCGAGTCCATTCCTTCTTCCTGTACCTGAGATGGAAATGCAGGGAATGAACACAATGAAGGCAGAGCAGACGTCAGAGATGGTTTTTGAAAAAAACTACAACTCAATTGAGCAATTTTCTAAAAACACAGACAGCTCAGGAACAGGCTGGCTCGCCTTACCTCCACACAGTTCAGAATCTAAATATAAGGCAGCAAGGGCAGTCCCATGCACTGAATCACCTCATCCTTGGCATCGCCCCCAAGAAGCGAGGGCACCGAGGATCAAAGGTTTTACTGAACCTGAACATGAGACACATTAAAACTTTCTCCACCGCTAATTTGGATCAAAACTTGCTCTCGAGCCAAGATATACCATTTCAAGGCTGTCCACTGGTTTCAGAATACAAACACTGGTCCCACCCCTCCGCTGCAGAGCGGGTGCGAAGAGTTTCGGGACAGCAGGCCAGGGTCCCGGGGACGTGCACCTGGCCACCCCCGCGCAGATGCTAACCGCTGGCAGGAGCCATCCATCTCACTCTGGGCCGTGCATGGACGTCTTCACCGACTCTCCCTGACCGCCGAGACCCGAGCTGCCCCCGGAGACGTAAACAGGGGCCCGGGCCCCACCCGCGCCAACCCAGGAGAGGGCAGTGAAAGAGGATAGGCCCGCGGCCGAGGGAGGGGTTCAGATGAGGACACGGAAGGGAGAAGGGCAGGAGTGAAGGGCAAAGCCAAGCCGGGGAAGCGGGGAGGCGGACACCCCGAGTGTGAGGTGGAGGGACAAAGGAGCGGGGGCTGGGTGGCCCGGAGGGGGCCGAGGGTGGGCTTGGCAGACAGGGGAGGGAGCACGGGGGAGGCAGCGCGGGCCGGGGCCGGGAGGGGAGCCGCCCGGGGATAAGAAAGGGGTGGGGAGAGCGGGGACTGGGAGGAGCCAGGGAGACCGCCCAGCGGCGGGTAGAGCGGCGGGGCCGCAACGCGGTGGAACCCAGATGCCGGCGGGTGGCGGCGGGAGTGGCGGCGGTGGGTGGGGCCGTCGGACCCCCGGGCCGCGCCGCTCCCGGGCCATGCGCCCCCGCGGGGGCCCAGCCGGGCCGCCCGGGACCGGGCCGTGCGCCGCCCTCGCCCTCGAGCCGAACCCTCGGCGCCCCCGCGGCCCGCCCCGCCGCCCCCGCACGCGGGCGGCCCGCTGCGCTCCCGGGAGGCCGGTGGCCCGCCCACCTGCTCTGCTGGGCCAGGCGCAGCCGGGGCGGACGGGGCCTCTCGCGCTCGGCCTCTTCCTGCTTCATGGAGCCATGCGCCGGGCGGGGGCCGCGACGGGAGCGGGCCCGCGGGCGGGCGGGCCGAGCCTTCGGGTCCCAGCAGCCACCGGGCGGGAATAGCGGGCGGCTCTCCGTGCGGACGCCGTAGGCCCAGCTCGCGCGGTCACGTGGCCGTCGGCGCACGTGTCGCCGGGATGTGATTCAGGGCTGCTTCCCGGGCCGGGCGGGCGGCGGGGTCGGGCCGGGGAAGGGCCCGCGGCGGGCAGCGGAAGGAGGCGGGGCCCAGCGCAGTGCACGCCGGGACCTGTAGTCTGGCCCCAGACGACCCCGCCCCCTGTCGTCCGGCCCCGCCCCTTTCCGCTCCCCCAGCGGCCGGACGGTGCGGCTCTGCGCGGCTCTGCGCGGCTGAGAGCGGCCGCCGCGCTGAAGGTCCTGGGGCGGAGGGCGCACTGCGCGCAGCTGGTTCGGTCGGGCTGCACGTGCTCCGGAGCCCAGGCTGAGGGCCCGCAGCGCAGGGTGAGACCACGGAGCGCGTGCCTCGGCGCGGGGGCCTCCTGGGGAACGACGGGACGTGTCCTGTTGAAGTTGGGAACAGACGATACTCACTTCCCGCACTTGCTGTATAATTTGGACGGATGACTTAGCGTTTCCGTTTCTGATCACAGATGACGTCGCACTGAAAAATACCACGGGTGCCCCTCCCTGCCCCTGCCCGACGTGGACGGGCCCTGCCGCCTAGGCACGCCATTTGGTTGGTTTATTTCTTACTCTCCACCCGAGGATATGTTCTTTGATTCATTATTATTATTATTATTTAGTATTTTTATTGACTTTTAGACAGAGAGGAAGGGAAAGAGTACCATCTAGTGGTTTCTCTCCTGACGGGGAAATGAACCTGCAACACAGGCATGTGCCCTGACCAGGAATCGAACCCGTGACCTCTTGGTGCACAGAACAAGACGATAGAGCCGCACTGGCCAGGGCAAAGCATTGCACTTGTGTTAAAAACACAAGAGTCTAGTCTGGTGTGGCTCAGTGGTTGAGCGTTGACCCCTGCACCAAGTGGTCACTGGTTCGATTCCTGATCAGGACACATGCCCAGGCTGTGGGCCCAATCCCCAGTGGGGGGCATGCAGGAGGTGGCCTATCGATCTTCTCTCTTATCCATGTTTCTATCTCTCTCTCCCTCTCCCTTCCTCTCTCTCTAGAATCAGTAAAAAAAAAAAAAAAAAAAGCCCTGGCTGGTCCTCAGTGGTTAGAGCATCAGCCTGTGGGCCAGAGAGTCCAGGGATCAGTTCCCACTAAGGGCAGGTACTTCCGTTGCATTTTGTCCCCGACCTTGGTTGGGGTTGTGTGGGTGGCAACCAGTTGATGTGTCTCTCACAATGATGTTTCTCTCTTCCCTGGCTCCCTCCCACTCTAACTGAAAACAAAGACCAAACCAAACCAAACAAAACAAAAACACAGAGTCCAGCTCACAGACAGGCTGTTTCAGGTTGTGCTGTTCTGTTTACGCACAAAGGAACCCTTAACATGTTTGTGCTCAGTGGATAGAGAAAAGTGTCCAGTGTAAAAGGCAACATGGCCCTGGCTGGTGTGGTTCAGTGGTTAGAGCACTGTCCTGTGCACTGAAGGGTCACCGAATCGATGCCACATCAGGGTACATACCCAGGTTGTGGGTTCGACCCCCAGCTGGGGCACATACAGGAGGCAACCCCATCAATGTTTCTCTCCCCCTCTCCCTTCCTCTCTCTCTAGAATCACTGGAAAACATGTACTCAGGTGAGAATTAAAAAAAAAAAAAAAGAAAAAAAATGTAATCAAGTATAATATCGACTATTACAGATTTTAGCATAATTGCCTGTGGGCCACAAACACTGAGGAAGCGGAATATCTGCTGTCTCTTGGACCTGGGACTCTCAAAGGGAACCAGGCAAAGGACAAGAGAGACGGAGAGACGGCAGTGCTTTGTACAACAGTTAAAAAAGTGATTCCTATAGTAGTTTTCATAATTCCTCTCAGTCTTGACACTGTTGAGGTCACATTTGCCAGTTTCTAAGCCCTGTCTGCCTGAAAATCAACAAATTAGATGGCCTAGAGCCAGAAAAGTAGGAGGCAATAGCCAGAGGTCAACTTTTGGGTTTGTTTCTGGAGAAAATGGAATCTTGACTTATTATAATCAAAATAAATTTCGTATAATAAAGGTCTTGCCAGCTGAAAATTTTAAAATGTGGCATCTGGCAAAGTGCCTTAGTCTTTTGCTCCCAGGGTCATACTATATTGCCATGAAACAGCCCACAGATAAGGGAGCTATTGCTCCCTAGTTCTCAAGCTATGAGGAGGTAAATGATGGAACTCAGCTGGACTTGAAACACTCCCACATTAAACCATAAAGAAACCTTGCTTTGTGCTGTCTAAAAGGCTTTTTATTTTATTTTATTTTTTAAAATGTTTTTATTGATTTTTCAGAGAGGAAGGGGGAGATGGAAACATCCATCAGCTGCCTCCTGCACGCCCCCTACTTGGGATCGAGACTAAAACCCAGGCCTGTGCCCTGACCCAGAATTGAACTGAGACCTCTCAGTCCATGGGACAACACTCAATCCACTGAGCCACACTGGCCGGGCATTTTTTACTGAGTCCAGCCAGTGTGGCTCAGTGGTTGAGCGTCGACCCCTGCACCAAGAGGTCGCTGGTTCGATTCCCAGTCAGGGCACATTCCCAGGTTGTGGGCCTGATCCCCAGTCGGGGGTATGCAGGAGGCAGCCAGTCGATGTTCTCTCTCATTGTTGTTTCTATCTCTCCCTTTCCCTTCCTTCCTTTTTAAAATCAATAAAGAAAAAAAAAGGAAAAATTTTAAAAAAGTGATTTTATTGACATGCTGCTATTGTTGGTTGTTTAATACCAAAAGGCAAAGGTCAGAATTTTTACTTATTTATTTATTTTTTATTATTATTTTTTTTATCCTCACCCGAGGACACTTTTACAGACAGAGTGGGAGGGAGAGAGAGGAAAAGAGAGAGAGGGAAACATCGATGTGAAAGGGACACATCCAGTGGCTGCCACCCGCACGACCAACCAGGGCCGGGGACAAACTGCAACCAAGGTACATGCCCTTAGCGGGAACCGAACCCGGATCTCTCCGGACCGCAGGTGGACACTCCAACCGCTGAGCCAAACTGGCCAGGGCAAAGGTCAGAATTTTTAAAAAGTCACTTTGGGGTCACTTCACATCAGCAAGCAAATGATGTAAAGGTAGACAGAATTAAATTACGAACTGGAGAGACCGAAAGCAATATATGCCATAAACAGGGAAGATACTGAATCTTATTTATGTTTTCATCTCTTACACATAATACAGAAATCTGGTATGTAATAAGCATGTAATAATTACTTGTAGCCTGCATGAATAAGTGAAAAAGAAAGCCAGCAAGTAGTGGGGAAATAATAAAGGTGGGAAAGGTGAACTGAGGAAGAGGTAGGTGGCCCAAGCCCTCTGCATGATCCTGAAATGTCATCCCGATCTGCCATGATACAGCTGTACCACTGTTTACCAGCAGTAACTCAAAACAAATACTCTGCCTCCCTAATGCTTGCCATTATTTCTTACCTTGAAGGGTTAAAGCTACATGGTAAGAGCCCTGGCCGGTTTGGCTCAGCAGTTAGAGAGTCGGCCTGCAGTCCAGAGAGACCTGGTTTCAGTTCTCACTAAGGGCGCGTAACCCGGTTGCAGTTTGTCCCCGGCCCTGGTTGTTTGTGCGGGTGGCGGCCACTCAATGTGTCCCTTTCACGTCAATGTTTCTCTCTCTCTCTCTCTCTCTCTCTCCCCCCCCCCCTTCCTCTCTCCCTCCCTCCCTCCCACTTTATCTGAACAAAAAATGGAAAAATGTCCTCGGGTGAGGATTGAAAAAAAAAAAAAAAGAGTCTAGTAAGAGATCTAGGCTCTTCCTCTACATGGTAAGAGTCTAGATCTTATTGTTCCCACCATAAAAACTAAATGGTGAGCCTGGCCTGTGTGGCTCAGCAGTTAGAGCATCGCCCCACGGACCAAAGAGTCATGGGTTTGATTCTGGCTAAGGGCATGTACCTTAGTTGCGGTTTGTCCTGGCCCTGGGGTCAAGCAGGAGGCAACCAGTCAATGTGTCCCTCTCATGTCGATGTTTCTTTTTCCCTCTTTCTCCCACTCTATCTGAAGATAAATAGAAAAATATCCTCGGGTGAGGATTAAAAATAAATAAATAAATGAATTAAATAATTTTTTAAAAAGTAATGGCGAGCCCTGCCAGTGTCGCTCAGTGGTAGAGCACCGACCCATGCATCAAGAGGTCACTGGTTCGATTCCCGGTCAGGGCACATGCCCAGGTTGTGGGCCTGATCCCCAGTGTGGGGCGTGCAGGAGGCGGCCAGTCGATGTTCTCTCTCATTGATGTTTCTATCTCCCTCTCTCTAAAATCAATAAAGAAAAAAAAGATGGCAATTATGGGACATGATAGAGGTGTTAGCTAACTCTACAGTAATTAATAATATTACGGCATTAAGCTTACACAATATTCTATCAATTATATCGCAGTTAAAAAAGAATATATGGCCCTGGCCGGTTTGGCTCAGCGGTTAGAGCATCAGCCTGCGGTCCCGAGAGACCGGGGTTCGGTTCCCGCTAAGGGCATGTACCTTGGTTGCAGTTTGTCCCCGGCCCTGGTTGGTCGTGCGGGTGGCAGCCACTTGATGTGTCCCTTTCACATCGATGTTTCTCTCTCTCTCTCTCTTCCTCTCTCTCCCTCCCACTCTACCTGAACAAAAAATGTCCTCAGGTGAGGATAAAAAAAAAAAGAATATATGGGCCCTAGCCACTAAGCAGTGGTTAGAGCGTCGATTCCCACTAAGGGCACGTACCTTGGTTGCAGTATGTCCCCGGCCCCAGTTGGGGTCATGTGGGTGGCAGCCATTCGATGTGTCTCTCTCATGTCTATGTTTCTTTCTCTCTCTCCCTCCTGCTCTATCTGAAGATGAATGCAAAATTGTCCTCGGGTGATGATAAAAAAAAAAAAGAATATATGGTGATTATTTTTATTTTTTTATTTTTATTTTTTCCATTTTTTTGTACAGATAGAGTGGGAGGGAGAGAGAGGAAGGGAGAGAGAGAGAAACATCGACGTGAAGGGACACATCGAGTGGCTGCCACCCGCACGACCAACCAAGGCCGGGGACAAACTGCAACCGAAGTACGTGCCCTTAGCGGGAACCGAACCCGGGTCTCTCCGGACCGCAGGCCGACGCTCTAACCGCTGAGCCAAACTGGCCAGGGCTATATGGTGATTATTAACAAGTGCACTCTAGGACCAGACTCCATGGGGGCGGGTCCATCTTTGACAATAGGTACTTGTGAGCCTAGGGCAAGGTAATATGTCACTGGCTTGGTTTATGATCTGTAAAATGGGGTTGTAGCAGTTTCTAACTCAGGGTTCTTATGAGATTTAGACATGTTTATACATATAAAGCTGTTATAGGAGTACCACATCAAAAATGCTCAATAACTGTGAACCTCATTAGTATTAGGGGGTTGTGATAAATGTGAAATTAGTCTGCACACAAGACATTCTTTTAGATTTGCACCTTGGATGAGCAGTGCGTTGATGGAGTGAGGGTATCTGCCAGTCTGTGGTAATGAATGAAGTAGGTTTCACAGGAGCTCCTGATGGGTGACAGACATTTGGTCTGCACCACTTTCCAGGTTGACATGAATCTGGTCTGGGTAAGAGAGAGAGTCTGAATCTGTGCTCCAGCCTCCACAAAGGCAGGCCCAGGGAGACTGTAATCTCTACAGATTACCTTGACTGGGAATTGAACTGGGACGTCTCAGTCCATGGGACGATGCTCAGTCCAGTGAGCCACACCAGCCAGGCTGAAGTAGTTTAAATAAACTGATAAGACCTACAGTATTTTTTTAAATTATGTTTTATTGATTTTTAGAGACAGGATGGGTGAGGGGAGAGAAAGAGCCATGGAGGTGAGAGCGGAACATCAGTCGCCGCCTCCTGCACACCCCACTGGGGGTTGAGCCTGCAGCCCCGCATGTGCCCCAACTGGGAATCGAACCAGCAACCTTTTGGTGCACGGGACTCATCAACCAACTGAGCTACACCGGCCAGGGCAGACCAACAGTATTTTGTTTGTGGTAAAGTTAACAGATATTATTCTGATAAGATGTGTTTTTAAACTTTGTGTGTCACTTGGGTACACAATTTAACACTGTTCCATAAAGAGGCTGTAATGTGCAAAGTGGCCCTCCAACACCCAAGGGGACGGGAGATGAAAGGGTGAGGCAGACAAGTCTAGCTTGTGGTTAAGTTTCACAGGGAACTAGTGTCCAGCAAGGTGGTCCCTAGGGCAGCAGGGTGTTCAGATCTCTGCGCCTTTCATCCCCTAGACCTCCTGCTTTTACCCCTCCTCCCCACTTAGAGATGGACCTACGTGCCAGAAAAGGAGTGTGGGGGCCATCCGAGGGAACACAGGGACCAGACACAGGGAGGCGCTGGCGTCAGGGTGAGCTCAGAGACACATGATGGCAAGGGTGCCTCACCTGGGAGGGAAAATTAAAGTAAATTCCATGATTAGTCCATCGTCTGTACATGTTCCAGTGTCCACCCTGGGGGGGGGGTGTCCAAGTCCAAGTGGATTCACTCAAGATTATAGATGACCTCAAGATGGAGTCAGCTCTGTTCATACAAACATCAAAATGTTTCTAAACTTCTATTAGTATTACCAGTGAAATAAATGAAACTACACAGAAAAGCTCAGGTCACACATTCATACATACACATGTAGAATGCACAAATCTTAAGTGTACAGTTTGGTGAATTCTTACACTAGTATACATCCATGTAACCACTATTCAAATTAAGGTGCAGAAATTTGCAGCAGCCCAGAAGGCCCCCTTTGTAACACCTCACAGACACGAATTCCCCATCAAACGATAAACATTGTTCTGACTTTTGTCACTGTAGAATAGCTTGGACCATCTTGGAACCCAGTGTAATTTTTTATTAAAATTATACCAATAGTATAAGGAAAACTTTGTTTTTGTTTTTTAATATTTTTTCTTTATTGATTTTAGAGAAAGAGGGAGAGGAAGAGAGAGACGGAGACTTCAATGAGGGAGAACATCAAGTCCAGCTGGTGTGGCTCAGTGGGTAAGTGTCAACCCATGAATCAGGAGGTCGCCGGTTTGATTCCTGGTCAGGACACATGCCCAGGTTGTGGGCCAAATCCCCAGTGGGGGGCATGCAGGAGGGGCCCAATGGATGTTCTCTCTTATCCGGTTTCCATCTCTCTCTCCCTCTCCCTTCCTCTCTCTCTCTAAAATCAATAAAGAGTCCTGGCCGGTTTGGCTCAATGGTTGGAGCATTGGCCTGCGGACCAGAGAGTCCTGGGTTCAGTTCCTGCTAGGGGTACCTACCAAAAATAAATAAATAAATAAAATCAATAAAGAAAGAAAAATTAATATGTTAGGAATGAGGTTAACAAAAACTTTTACTCTGAATACTATAGAACACTTGAAAGCATTAGATCAGTACTAAATTAATTGAAAGAGGCTGTAATCATGACCTGAAGACTATAATAGGGTAGCACAATTTCCCAAATTTATCTATAGACTCAACATACCTTCAACATTTCCAATGACTTTTTTGCAGAAATTGACAGGCAGATCCTAAAATTTACAGTGATACCTCGGTTCTCGAACATAATTCGTTCCAGGAGGACGGTCGAGAACCGAATTGTTCGAGAACCGAAGCAATGAAACCAATAGGAAAGCGTGACTCCACAAAGCGTGACTCTCTCTGCACTCACACTGATGACGCAAGCAAGGCGCGCTGGGCCGAATGAACGCCATTCGGCTCAACTCGGCTCATCTCGGAAGTTCGAGTTCCAAATATTTGTTCGGATTCCGAGACAAAACTTTCTCGAATCTCCATTTGGTCGAAAACCGAGGCGTTCGAGAACCGAGGTATCACTGTACTTGGAAATTCAAGGGACCCAGTACACTTGGAACAATCATTTAAAAAAGTAACAAAATGGAGAACTCACACTTCCCATTTTCACAACTTAAAAGTTTCAGTAGAGCCCTGGCCGATTTGGCTCAGCAGGTGGAGTGTCAGCCTGTGGACCAGAGAGTCCCGGGTTTGGTTCCCGCAAGGGGCACATACCAAAAAAGAAAGTTTCAGTAGAGTCTGGCCAGTGTGACTCAATAGATTGAGCACTGTCCCATGGACTGAGAGGTCCTGGCACATTTCCGGGTTGTGGGCTAGATCCCCAGTAGGGGGCGTGCAGGGAGCAGCCAATTGATGTTTCTCTCTGACATTGATGTGTCTCTCTCTCCCTTCCTTTCTCTCTAAAAAAAAAATCAGCAAAAACATGTTTAAAAATAGTTTCAGTAGATAAGACAGTGTGTGGTATTGGCCAAAGGCTAGTCATATGAGTGGAATAGAATTGAGTCAGAAATAAGCTTTCATGTACATAACTAACAAATCTTCAACCAATTGCCAGGATAGTTCAATGCAGGAAATAATCTTTTCAACAAATGGTCATGGCAAAAAAAATAATAATAATAATAATAATCATGATCCATTTTTATAAAACACAAAACTATAAAAAGCCTGTAACAAAACATAGGAGAAAACCTAGATGATCTTGGGTTTGGTGATGAGTCATTAGATATAACTCAAAAGCACTATCCAGGAAAGAAAAAAATCGATGCTGTAATTTATTCCAATTAAAAACTTTTGCTCTTCAAAAGGTACTATTTTAAAAAGGGTTTTTGCCCTGGCCGGTTTGGCTCAGCGGTTAGAGTGTCGGCCTGCGGTCCAGAGAGACCCGGGTTCGGTTCCCACTGAGGGCATGTACCTTGGTTGCAGTTTGTCCCCGGCCCTGGTTGGGTTGTGAGGGTGGCAGCCACTCGATGTGTCCCTTTCACGTCGATGTTTCTCTCTCTCTCTCTTTCCCACTCTATCTGAACAAAATATCAAAAAAAATAAAAAGGGTTTTAATTGATTTTTTTTAGAAAGGGAGGGAGAGAGATAGAAACATCCATGTGAGAGAGAAACATCTATTGCTGCCTCCTGCACAGCCCCCGACTGGGGATCGAGCCCACAACCTGGGCATGTGCCCTGACCGGGAATCGAACCGGGACCTCTCAGTCCATGGGACAACACTCAATCCACTGAGCAACACTGGTCAGGCGAAAAGGTACTATTAAGGAGACAGAAAGATAAGCCACAGACTGTGAGAAAATATTTCCAAAATGCATATCTGAAGGAGGACTGATATCCAAAATAGACAAAGAACTCTCTTAAAACTCAATCAGAAAACAACATAATTAAAATATGGGCAAATATCTGAACAGATACATCACAAACACTATAAAAATCCAAACGAGCATATAAAATGCTTAACATACATCATTAGAGAACTACAAATAAAATCAGTGAGATACTGGTACAAATCTATTAGAACGGATAAACTACAAATCGTTGACAACACTAAGTGTTGGCTCATTCATTGCTGGTGGGAATGCAGAGTAGTGCAGTCACTTAGGAAGAGTTTCTAACCTATGGTCCAGCAATCACACTCCTAGGTTTTTACCCAACTGATTGAAAATTTATTTCCACACAAGAACCTGCATGCAAGTGCTTATAACACTTTTATTCATAATAGTCAATAACTGGAAGCAATATGTCCTTTAAAATAAAACAAAAAATGTTTTTTTCTTTATTGATTTTAGAGAGAGAGGAAGGAAGAGGGAGAGAGAGATAGAAACATCGATGTGAGAGATAAACATCCATCGGCTGCCTCTTGCACACACTCCACTGGGGATCAAGCCCACAGCCCAGGCATGTGCCCTGGCCGGGCAAGCAGTATGTCCTTTAATAGGGAAATGAATAAACAAACGGTTGCATATTCTCACAGTAGAATACCACCCAGCAGTAAAAAGAAACAACATATAATACATACAACAAATGTTTGAATCTCAAATGATGTTAAGCATAAAAACCAGACACAAATAAGTGTGGATGGTATGATTCCATTGGCATGAAGTTCAGGAACAGACAGATCTATGATAACATATAGCAACGTTTCGCCTGGGGAATGGGGGCAGAAGTGTACTGACTACAATCTGGCCCATGTGGCTCAGTGGGTTGACCTTCAACCACTGAGCCACACAGTTTGATTCCTGGTCAGGGCACATGCCTAGGATGTGGGCCTGATACCCAGTGTGGGGAATGCAGGAGGCAGCCAATCAATGTTCTCTCTCATCCATGTTTCTCTCTCCCTCTCACTTCCTATCTCTCTAGTATTAATAAAGACAAAAAATGTTTAAAAAAAAATAAAAAAGAAGTGTACTGACTACCAAGGGGCACTCTGTCTGGAGTTAGGTAATGTCATGTGTCTTGATTCAGATGTTAGCTATGGGTATATATATTTGTCAAATGCATAAAATTGTATATTTAAGATTTGGGTATTTTACTTTATGTAATTATACCACAATAAAGTCAATTATTTAAAATAATGTCAAGCCCTGCTAGTGTGACTGGTGGTTGAGCGTCGACCCATGCACCAAGAGGTCGCCGGTTCGATTCCCGGTCAGGGCACATGCCCGGGTTTCGGGATCGATTCCCAGTAGGGGGCGTGCAGGAGACAGCTGATTGATGTTTCTCTCTCACATGGATGTTTCTAAGAAAATCAATAAAAACGTATTAAAAAATAATTTTGAAGCCATACATGTTTTTCACGCACTCTTGTGCATCTGTGCTGTGTGACAAAGAAGCATGGAACACCTGTCAAAGGTGCCATTCCATCATGGGTTGGGCTGGGCCATACAATCTCTAGGTAACTTTTAAACTCTAAAATTGTACATCTACATTATTACTATGATAAAATCACTGAAAATGAAAATACTATAAAGCATTTAAAAAATGATCTTTTGAAATTTCTAAGTTTAAAAGATATAATTTTTTGCCTGAATTGTGTGGCTCAGTTGTTTTATTAACCCTCATCCGAGTTTATTTTTTCCATTGATTTCTAGAGAGAGTGGAAGGGGTGGGTGGGAAGAGAGAGACAGACAGAGAGAAACATCAAGGTGAGAGACGCATCGATTGGCTGCTTCTGCACACACCCTGGTTGGGGCTGGGGATGAAAGCTGCACCCAGGTACGTGCCCTTGACTGGGAAATGAACCCATGATCCTTCTATCCACTGAGCCACGCCAGCCGGACCATCAGTACTGTCTTTCAAAGTTGGTTCCATGCAGCCACAAACCACTCTAGTGAAGCGGTTCATTCACTCCAGGGACTTCTTTAGCCAAGTCATGCAGGCCTGTGTCCTCCCCAGAGGAAGGCTGAAAGCCTACTTTGCCTCTCTCTCAACCCTGCAGCGCACGAGAACTTCTAGTTCCAATCCGAGGAAGACTGTCTCAGGTGAGCCAGTCTGTACAGACTCAAAGACCTGGTCAGAAGTGGCAAAGACTGTCTCGTCTGTTCAGGTCAGGGCAAAGAGAAGAGCGCCACCCCAAGTGGCAACTGGAAATGTAAGTCTAGCGGCAGGAGAACATGCACCCAGAAGGGAGACATGCTGCTGTGCCCAAAGGAAGCAAGCCCGGACACCTCACCACTCCAGTAAGTTCACAGCAGCAAGAGGAAGCAACCCCGTGGAGAAAGCCCACACTTCTGGGAGCCCCACCTCCCACTGCCACAGCCTTACTTGTCCTAAAACTCGACCCTGCACACCTGCAGTGGGATACAGCTGTCTTGTGTCTGAGCTAACTAAGGGCTGCGTGACTTCCTCCGAATACCAGGTAAGTGGAACTCTATGTGGACAGACTCAACCCTGCACACCTGTGTGGGACACAGCTGTATTGTGTTGGAGCTAACCAGATACCGGGTAAGTGGAACTCGATGTGGCCAAGCTCGAACAGAGTGAGCTCCGGCAGTGTGCATGGAATCCCACAGGGCGACACCGCAGTGACGTTTGGCACCGCACTGACTGGCATAGAGAACGAGGCAGACGGCCCATGTACAAAACCTCTTTTGAGTCCTTTATTAACATTTGGAGATGTGCGGTACGTACAATTAACAGCATCACACCAGCTACAGAAGTACAGATAACCAAGAACGTACTTCGGAACAAGGACCTCGCAACTTGCGGTGCTGCCTGCTCTGAACCTCCACAGAAACCCAACTCTGACACACGCAGAACAGACAGTACGAGTTCACTTTGAAATGGTTCTTACAATGACGATCATTGACAGTTCAAATCCCTTAGAGTGTGCCGGTCCTCGGGGTGCCAGGGCCTGCTGAAGGCCACGTTACGTACAGACGGGGCGAGGGGAGGGTGACGTTCAGTCCAGGCTCAGTGTAGGTCCTACAGGAATCCACCAGATAAACAATCTATAAACCGGAAAGCTGGGAAATGCCAGCCATCGTCTGTCACTGATGCCAACTGGCAGGCCCAAGAGTCCTCCAGAACAGTTGAAGAGGGATGTGCCTAAGGAAGAGTGGGATCCACGGTGTCAGATCCACTCTGACCCTGCTGGGACACGGGTGCCACGGGCCCCTCTGCTCTCGCATGTGAAGTAAGGAACGCTTCCTTTATTGCAATGTTCACTTTGAAAATAACCAAAACCCTCCCTCCACCCCCACCATCATTCTTCTTAAATTGTTTCCACAGTCCAGATGCTTCTGGATCTAGACTTTCTCCTTTCGCTTCAATTTTGACACTTTCTTGACAGTCCCATTCTTGTTCAGAAGCTTCAGGACTCGCTCTTTATGGTCCAGAACCTTCAGCATGGAGTCTCTGGCCTCGCTGATCTGGTCCATCACCAGCTTGCACCTCTGCATGTTCCCCTGCAACAAAGGACAGGCCACGTCAGCAGGCCCGAGCAGGGCTCAGCGTCCACAGAGAGTGGCAGTGCTTCTTGGTGATGGAGGCGCAAGTGAATAGGCTCCTACTGAAGTTACTAGTGGATGAGGGAGGGAACATAAGAAGACTTCATAGTAAAGACTATCAGGTGGATGGTCAGAAGGGAAAGGGCTCACTCAAACCTGTATCAGCTCATTTATTCGGTGCAGGTCATCATCGGTGGCTGCTTTTTTCTTTGGGATGATCCCTTCCTGTAGGTTGGTGAGTCTCTCGTAAACATCGTGTTCTAGATTGGTCTGCAAAACAAAGGGAGGGGGGCGCATCATGACCTCAGAAATACTTTTTTTGGGGTTAACTTCAGGCAAATAAACCCACCTTGAATCACCTTTCTAAACTTGTTTGGATGTTTGGGTGATGAAATCCTTTCTCTCAATGAGTTAAGTGATCAGTAACAACTTACACTACAATTTGCTGTAATCAAGAGTCCATCCTTAAGGATAACTTTTCAGTACTGCCCTGAATTCAATTCCTCTGGAAGACAAGTCTACAAGTTCCACAGAAATGTGTTTCTCTGCTAAGCACAGAACCAGCCATGACCACTGTTTTTTATATACGTGTAACAATGCTCTTCAGGTCACAGCTACGCCAAAGGAAGAAAACTTAACGAGGCTGCTGTTCCCGCTGCACCCCTACCCAGTTGGTGCAGAGACAGTCCTGCCCTACGGTTCTGGTCGTGGTCGAGAACTAACACGCCCTGACAGTGGACAGCGGGGAGCGAGAGCAGTTGACTAATGAACACAGCCCAGGAAGGACACTGCACACCAGGCGGGCACTGGGGCCAGGAGGGCCTGTGGTCAGGAGCACAGGGAACCAGCAGGGGCTGCAGGAGGCAGGTTCTGTGGTCTCAGGAGGGGGAGGGACCCCAGGAATGGGGTGACTGGCTTATCTGAATAACAGGAGCCGGCAGAGAACTACAGCCTGGTCCTCAGGGGAACTGAGCCTGGCCTGGGAAGAGCAGGTGGGGGCTCCCAGTGAGGCTGTTTGGGGCTCCCCGTGTGGGTCATGGCAACAACACTGACACTGAGCTGCAGGTCTGACACCACAGGTGTTCCTGCATGCCAGAACTGAGATATATTTAGACCACAATGACATCTATGAGACAGACACAGTAATTATAGTACACAGCAAACGTAGAAACTCTATCATGACTCATGTTAACAGGGAAGGCGTCAGGATTCCTCAAAGAAAAACGCTCTCTGCACTCAGACACTGACATGGCTCCCCCCTTAAGCAGAACTGTGGGACCCCACCTACCAGCTGCAGCAACTGGGCAGCACAGAGGTGGACTTTCCAGCCCTGGGCCCGGCAGGACACTCCTTTCTGATTTGCTATTTCCTGCAGCATAGCTTTCTTCTCCTCTGGAACCATAAAAAATAAGAAGTATACTTCAATTTTTAGAAAGCTAAAATTCTTCATGTGTAAGCTGCTCAAGTGCTACCATTTTATCAAGAATTTCTTTACTTAAATATCTGTAAATAAATCCTTTGCATGTAAGCCATTAGGAACAGATAACATGAATAAAAGCTCCCTTTCAGTCCACCCTGTAAGAATGCTTCAAAGACATGCTCTGCTGATCTAGTGAGTTCAAAAGATGGCAGGTTATCATTCCAACGTCTTATGACAGAGAAAATGGTCCCTGGAGGGTTGAAGCCTTGCTCCTGTGATGCCTGCAAGCACGTGGAGAGGGGGCACGAAGTCTCAGAAGGTCTTTATTATTTTCTTATTTTTATCTTTTTAAAAAAGTTTTAAGTATTTTTAATTTTTTTTTACCCTCACCTGAGGACACTTTTGCATTCATCTTCAGATAGAGCAGGAGGGAGAGAGGGAGGAAGAGAGAGAGAGAAACATCGATGTGAGAGAGACACATCGACTGGTTGCCACCCACACGACCCCAACTGGGGCCGGGGACAAACTGCAACCGAGGTACGAGCCCTTAGCGGGAACCGAACCTGGGACTCTCTGGACCGTGGGCCGACGCTCTAACTGCTGAGCCAAACCAGCCAGGGCATCTCAGAAGCTCTTTACTGTTACCTAGATCTTGGAGAAATCACAGGAATCAAATTTGTATAACACCTAAATATGGGTAGAAAAGTCTAGCAATCAAAATTGTGCAATAAGATAGAAATGAAATGTATCATTTGCACTAAAGAGAGACAAACTAGGATTGAGGGGTGCTTGTCAAAGGTAAATTTAGCTGTACCTGGGAAGTTTTATTGCCTGTGTAACCAGGATTTAAAATATATTTACAGCCCGGCCGATGTGGCTCAGTGGTTGAGCGTCAACCCATGCACCAAGAAGTCGCCTGTTCGATTTCCGGTCAGGGCACATTCCCAGGTTGTGGGATTGATCCCCAGTGGGGGACATGCAAGAGGCAGGCAATCGATGTTCTCTTTCACCAATAATTCTCTCTCCACCTCTCCCTTCCTCTTTCTCTCTCTAAAATTAATGAAGAAAAAAATTTTTTTAATATATTTACATAATACATAGGTATTTTATTTTTTAAAAATTTAAAAATTATTTTATTGTCCAGCCAGTGTGGCTCAGTGGTTGAGTGTTGACCCATGCACCAAGAGGTCGCCGGTTCAATTCCCAGTCAGGGCACATGCCCAGGTTATGGGCCTGATCCCCAGTGGGGGGCATGCAGGAGGTGGCCAATCGATGTTTTCTCTCATCGATGTTTCTATCTCTCTCTCTTTCTCACTTCCCCCTCTCTAAAAATCAAAACAGGAAAAAAAAGTTTTCTTATTTTATTTAAAAAACAAAAAAAACAAAACCCACTTGTGTATCTGTGAAGACGGAGAATGCACAGGACGCGCACACAGACACGGAGCCCTGTGGATGATGGGACCAGATGAGTGTATCAGTGCAGGACTATGAGTGACCGGTGTGCCAGGTGGTGTGGGTGCTAATGGGAGGGCTTTGCAGGTGGGAGGGAGGGGTCTGTGGGAAACCACTGTACCTAAGGCTTAGTTTTACCATGAACCTAAAACTGCTCTAAGTTCATCAGTTAAAATAAATCCCTCTCTAGCATGCAAATATTAGCATGAATATGATTAAACAATTTTTAAATTTTTTGAGACAATTGTAGATTCATATGCAGCTCTACAGAATAATACAGAGATGCTGTGTGTTTACCTGGTTTTCCCCAGTGGTAGCATCTTGCAAAACTACAGTACAGTATTACAACCGTGACCCTGATACAGTGCGCTGACCCTACTGACATCACATTTTAGTAGTACTTGTAGATTTCACTACAGGCATTAAAACAAACTGTTTAGTGTGAAATACATTCACAGGAAGGTGCAAAGATAGTATACATATATCTGCTAAGGGACTTTTACCTAGAACACATGAATTCTTTTTTAAAAAAACTTTATTGTTGAGTGTATTAGAAAATGTCCCCCCTTTCGCCCCATCGACCCCCTCCTCCCTGCTCCCACCCCTTCTTATGTTCCCTATACTACTGTGTGTGTCCATTGGTTATACATATACGCATAGAAGTTCTCTGGTTTACCACTTCCCTCTGAGGCTCCTCAGTCTGACTACCAATTTGTACTTCTTAATCCCTTCACCTTTTTCACCCATCCCGCCAATCCCCCTCCCATCTGGCAACCAACAAAATGTTCTCTGTATCTATGAGTCTGTTTCTGTTCTGCTTGTTCATTTTGAGATAAATTTTGTTTGTTAGCAGATATTTGTTTTTGCTATTTTATTGTTCACATTTTTGTTCTTCTTCAAGAAGACCCTTCAACACTTCATATAATACTGATCTGGTGGTGGTGAACTCCTTTAGCTTTTCCTTGTCTGGGAGACGCTTTATATTTTCTTCGATTCTAAATGACAGCTTTGCACGATAGAGTAATCTTGGTTGTAGGTCGTTGCTTTTCATCACCTTGAAAACTTCTTGCCACTCCTTTCTGGTCTGCAAAGTTTCTCTTGAGAAATCAGCTGACAGTCTTATGGCAGTTCCCCTGTAGGTAACTAACTGCTTTTCTGTTGCTGCTTTTAATATTCTCTATCTTTAACCTTTGGCATTTTGATGATGATGTGTCTTGGTGTGGGCCTCTTGGGTTCATCGTGTTTGGGACTCTCTGTGCCTCCTGAACTTGTATGTCTATTTCCTTCACCAAGTTAGGGAAGTTTTCTGTCATTATTGTTTCAAACGGTTTTCCATTTCTTGCCCTCTCTCTTCTCCTTCTGGCACCCCTATGATGCGAATGTTGGTACGCTTGAAGTTGTGCCAGAGGCTCCTTACACTATCCTCATTTTCTGCATTCTGTTTTCTTTTTGCTGTTTTGATTGGATGTTTTTTGCTTCCTTATACTCCAAATCGATGGTTTGAGTGTTGGCTTCATCTACTCTACTATTGGTTCCCTGTAAATTATTTTTTCAGTTAGTGCATCCTTCATTTCTTTTTCTTTAAATATTTTTTTCTTTATTAATTTTAGAGAGAGGAAGGGAGAGGGAGACAGAAACATTGGTGAGAGAGAACATGGCTGGCCGCCTCCTGCATGCCCCCCACTGGGGATTTGGCCCACAACCTGGGCATTTGCCCTGACCGGGATTGAACTGGCGACCTCTTGGTGCATGGGTTGATGCTCAACCACTGAGCGACGCCAGCCAGGCACATCCTTCATTTCTGACTGGTCCTTTATGATGCTCCTGAGGCCCTCACTAAGTTCCTCCAGCATCCTTATAATTAGTGGTTTGAACTCTGCATCTGTTAGATTGTTTATCTCTGTTTTGTTGAGTACGTTTTCTGGAGTTCTGTTCAGTTCTTTCATTTGGGACATGTTTCTTTGTCTCCTCATTTTGGCTGCCTCCCTGTGTTTTTTTCTATGTATTAGGTAGTTACTATGTCTCCTAGGCTTGTAGGGTGGCCTTTTGTAGTAGGTGTCCTGTAGGGTCCAAGGGTACAGCCTCCTTGATCATCCCAGCTGGGCCCTCAAGGTGCACCCCTAGTATGGACTATACACCCTTCTGTTGTAATGGAGTTCTGAGTCCTGTTTGCACATAAACGGGAGGGGTTACTCTTGCTGATCAGCTGCAAGGACTGGCTGTGCCCACTGACCACTGTCCTCTGACTACCTTGGAGGATCAGCTGTGCAGGGCCCACCACACAGAGCAAGACTTTCTTCAGCAGGGCTCTGGTACCCACTGAGTCCACTCATTGAGTGTATCACCTATGGAGGTGGTTGGGTGGTGGTGCTTCACTGTGATCTGAAGCTGTTCACAGGGTGTGCTGGCTCTGGGGCATGGTCAGCCACTGCCTGTGTTCTACCCAGGGCCACTAGGCTTAAGCTACAAAGTGATCTGCAGATGGCTGTTACTTGTGCTGGCTTGGAGGTGCCCAGGCGAAGCCAAGCTGTGAACCAAGGCTGGCTGCTTCTAGTGCCAGGTCTGAGGCTACTTAACAAGGGGTACTGAGCTCACTGAGGCCAGATGCTGCTTGTTTGAGTGAATTAGGAAAATCTGAAACATGACCAAGACAGGCCAAGCCTATGGTAAAGCCACTGGAAACAGCTTGGGTGGACCTGAAAGTTGAGTGGGGCAGGGCCTCAGGGAGTCACCAGGGTGGGGCAAACAACATGAGCCAGGTGGATGGAATCCTAGATATGGTGCCATTTGCTGCCCTGGGGAAGGGCTCACCAAAGGGACAAAGGCCTCCGCCAGCATGTCTGTCTGGGAGAAAGCTGCCCCTCCAGCTGTCACCCTGATGCCAAATAGCTCAATTCTTCCCTGTACGTCTTTGATGCCTTTCAAGCTTCCTCTTTCACACTAGAGCCTGGAGGGAGAGGGTCCAAGTAAGTCTGTGTGCTGACCTTTTAAGAGGAATTGTCTGGGGCTCCAGCAGCCTCAGCCTCTCTCAGCCTCAGTTTCCGCTGGTTTTTCCAGCCAGAAGTGATGGGGATTCTCTTCCTGGCACTGGAACCCTTAGCTGGGTGCCTATTGTGGGACAGGGACCCCTCACTCCTCAAGGAGGACCTTCCCAGCCAAGGTGTCCTCCTGATTTTTATCCGCCACACGTGGATGTGGGACCAGCTGTCCACCACTGCCCCTCCTACCAGTCTCGATGTGGTTCTTTTTTAATTTTGTAGTTGTAGGACTTCTATTCAGCTCGATTTCAGCTGGTTCTGAATGTTGGTGGTTCCGTAGCTTAGTTGTCATTTTGATATGGTTGTGGGAGGAGGCGATACCATGTTTACCTACCCACCATCTTCACCGGAAATCTCCACATGAAGAATTCTTACAACTCAATAGTAAAATGACAAATGTATTAAAAAGGGCAAAAACATGCAAACAGACATCTCTCCAAAAATGTAAAAAATGGCCAATAAATATATGAAGATGTTCATCA